ACCAGTGAATTCCTGTATTGTGCATGCAGAGCCCAGGATCAGAAGCCACAGGGCAGGGATGGCCCAGTGCCCAGGACGTGCTCTGAAGGGGGTGCTTCACACATCATTTGTCTCTATTCCAGTGCTGTGCTGTCTCCTCCAGAAGATGCCCCTGATTCCCCTGGGGATGCATCAGGCTCTCCCAGGGGCTCTGGTACCTTCCTTGCTTCACCTGCAGCCATCTACAGCAGAAGCAACCTTCCCAGGCAGATGTTGGCCATCAGCCCTTCCTGTGCCCTTCACCCCATGCTCAGACCTGGAGCAGGTGGAGAAGAAGCTGCTGAAAAGTGTGGATGTGTTTTACCACTCCCCAGGACCTGGGCTCAGTGTCTCCCAGTGCTTTACAGAGACTTAAATCCAGCTTCTCCTCCTGGATCTCTCTTTTGCATGGGTCAAGGGTGGTCTCTTTGCTCCCCTGCTTGTGCTCAGAAAGGATTTTAAAACATTTACAGCCTGACTAGACCCAGTAAGCTCAGGGCTGGCAAAGAAAAAAATATTCTTTTTGCCAGCTCTTCATGTTAAGTGTCTATATTTAAAATGACTACATAAACTAAAAAATTATTAACAGGTCTAAGCACTTTACCAGGCAAATCCAATTTCTGGATGGAATAAAGCTAAAAAAATTTGCTTTGAGGATGAGATTTAATTCAAAGTGTCAGTGTTAGTTCTCCTGCTGTACTTGTAGGTTTAGAGAATAAACCTGTTTGCTAGCAAACAATCGTCTTAAACAAGATCATCATTAATCCTGAATTCAGCTGTCAAAAGGACTGAGACTGCAAACTAAGAGGGAACAAGGAAAACCTGGTAATTTGTTTGTTAAATATTTGTAAACTGTCATGTCAGTAATGGATAATAAGAAAATTTTGAGCCTCCAGAGCTGATGCATAACACAAAGCTTTGCTGTATTGCACCTAAACTATTATCAATAGCACATTTATTATAATAATAGATGAAAAACAAGCTTCCTGGCTGAAAAACAAGATCAATTTGAGCTCAAGCTATTTGGACATGTTCTAAATGTTGTAATTAAAATGCAGCATGAACGTTCCTTTAAAAAAAAAAAAGTGAGAAAAATAGCCTTGCTACAATTACATATGCCATCCAGCCCTGACCAATAGCCTGACCCTGAGGGAAAAAAAAAAAAAAAAGAACAGGCAAAATTGTATTTGTGTCCAGTCAGACATTTCTATTTCTCATCTCCAGGGCTTGCTGCAGTAAAAAAAAAGAACAGGCAAAATTGTATTTGTGTCCAGTCAGACATTTCTCATCTCCAGGGCTTGCTGCAGAGCCTAAGCTAACACGACTTTTCCTGTTGGGTCAGGATCCATCCCAGCCTTGAAGATCTGATGCAGGGAGTCAGCCCTGGCTGCACTGAGCTCCCTGTGCCAGTCAGGATGTGATCACAGCCCGGCAAAGAAACCCAGCTGAGCTCTATCCTGCTGCAGTTTATGGCGGAAAAAAACCCAAAACACCAAGCAACCATGAAAAGAGATAAAGAAGCCACCTGTGTGGAAGGTTTCAGTCCTGACCAAGTGCCTTGGGGACAGAAATGGTTGGAGAGGCTTTGTCCCCAGCACCCTCCCGCAGTTACAGCACACATCAAAGCGGCAGCCGCGCCTCCCGCAGCAATTAGAGACCCACGGCCCCTTCCCAGGAGCTGCCTGCCGCCCTGCAGAATTGGACTCTTCTTTTGTTCTGATAAAGAAGTGACTAGTGAGCTGCAGCAATCTCCTGGTAGCTCTCTAAATAATTGTGTTCTCTCGTGTCTTTTAATCATAGGTCCCGCGAGGCTCATCATGCCACATGTGCACTCCAAATGGGCCCATCAGCTCGGCTGTTCAAAGGGACTTCATTTAATCCTAGCCTTTGATGGAGACAGGAGCGGTCAAAGTCCGCCCTAATGATTTTCTAAGTTTACTTATCTTGCAGATTTGGGGCATGAAGGGCACTTGGACTCCAAGTGCAGCATTGATAATGGGAAGCCGTGAGGAGGAAGACAAAATTGGCGAGAGCTTGACAGTCAGAATCCAGAGAAATCACAAGAGAAACCTGGAAAAACAGTGGAGACTGAAAAGGCAAAATAAATCCCATGATTGGTGTCACCACAAGCAACAGCATGAGACTGGTAAAATAAATTGCTGGAGGCAACATCTACCTCTGAGTGAATATCACAGCTGTGAGAGACCCACCAAGGAGAGGCCAAGAGCGGGAAAATCCAAGCTAGGAAATGCAGAGCCAGAGAAACGCAGGCACAAAGTGCCAGGATGGTGGAGCTGCTCTGACCTGGCAGCATCCCCTCCCAGACAGAGCAGGATGCAGTAGACATGAAAAACAAATCTTTGCATGAAAAAGTGCCTGCTCTTCCCTAAGCTGAAAAGAAGCTCAAACCTTTCAAAGCAGAGCATCTTTTAAAGCCACTGGGATGACTTCTCTGCTCATTTTCAGCCCAACAGGTCAGTGGACCCCAGGAGGTGTAATACAGTGACACAAGCTAAAAAATGCTGAGCAGACTGAAGCAAAAACCCAAAGAAAGGAACCAAAATCCCTGGCTTCAAGGGATGCTGACAATGAACATTAGGACCAAAGGCATCACAGATATGGGTTTAATGGAAAAGTTAAGAGCCCAGCCTTCTCCTCAGAGGGTTGACAGGAGAAGACTGGAGCAGTGTTTCACTCCTGAGCTATAGGTGATGGATATGAACACAGTGGGGGAAAAAAAAAAAAAGGACTTCACTACTTTACTAGATAAAACCCAGCTGGTTCTGAAGGTCTCAATAGCCTTTAATAGTTTTCAGCTCAAATGGAAGAGGGAACTCAGAGCCTGCATTACAGAAGTGAGGAAAGCTGTGGGCTGTGAGAAATGGATCACAAACCCTTTGGTTATAAGCAGCACATACAAAAGAATGGTGCAAGGGAGAAACAAAGAAATCCTCCAGCAGGGATGTAAAGGACTGTGCTGGCACCATTAGTGCAGAGGGATTCTTTATGGCACTATAAAAGTTTTGGTGGAAGATGGATAAAACATCAACCTGAAAAGAGCCAAGGCCATTTATTTATTTTATACAGGTGGCCTAGGACAACCTTTGGGGAGAAAAATGCAAAGAAAAACAGTGATATTAGCCTTAAAAGTAAATCCACAACCAGCAGACAGCGAAGGGTAAAATGCAAACATTACCCAGGCTGGCTAATCACCACAAAAGGACTGACTGGTTAAAAACATGTCAAATCCTTGGTATCATGAGGAGTGCCCTTTGGAGGACCTAATCTGAGGAGAGCTTCCAGGAAGGTGCTTGTGGGTGGGCAGAACAAACCTTCCCTTGCTCCAAGTGGTGAGATGGGGGACTGCACAACTCCTTGGCCATCCCTGAAATAACAGGGCACTGATGACACTGGCTGTGGTGAGAAGGGAGCAGGAACACGCAAATTAAATATCCTCAGTGGAAAGAGGGAGCTGTCTTTGCTCTGGAGGTTTTGAGCTGTATAAAGTGTCAGGAAGCAAATCTGGCACTAACAGCCCACGACTGGCACACACTGGTCTGGCCAGTGCTGGACCTGGGAGCTGCAGACCCCAGAGAGGCATCAGAGCATCCGCTGAGCTCAGGGCACAGCATGGACTGCATGGCCTCACATGTGGGGAGCCCCTGTGGCTGACAGCAGCTTGTCTTGCTGAAAAACAGCAGCTCCTGCTGCCTGGTGGATTCCTGCTGGCCTGTTACACCTCTAACTTGGGCAGGAAAAATCCATGTTGGTACAGCACCTTTGAGAGGTTTCTTTCTTTGGTGAGAACAGCATGAAGGCTGCTTGGAAAGTGTTTTGATGCACAGGTTAAACAGAGAAAGAGCCTGAACAAAGGTTCCCAGCAGCTCCAAACAGACATGAGTAGAGTCAGAACTCCAAGCAAATTCACTTCCATTTGAAGAAACTTCATTTGTGAGTGATACACACACAGAGCAAGGTCTGGGAGATGCCAGTTATTACCCAAGACCTGGTCACTGGGGTGGACAAGTAGACCAAGAAGGAGCAGAAAGTGTCCTGCCAGGATGCAGCTTGCTGCTCCTCAACCACAAGATTCACAAACTGAAGCCTGGCAGCACAAGGTAATACACAGTGATAAGACAGGGCTCTCAGCAAAACACTGACTTTTAAAAGGCCAAGCCTGGAATGGCCACAGAGTCAGCCTCACTGACACCAGCTGGCACTGGTGACAGAGGAGCTGCCCCTTTCCACCAGCTGCTGCTTCCATGCTGATGGCATATCTGTGATTGCAAAGGCAGCCCAATGACCACACACCACTGCTGACACAGCCTGTTTGGCTTTCTCTCACTTCTGTGCAAGAGACTCTCAAACTGGCTGGCAGGGCAGGGCCATAAATAATGTCTAAACAGGCTGGGGCCACAGGCAGCACCAGTGGATGCTCCAGGGCTGGTGACAGCACTGTGTCTGTCCAGAAGTCCCTGTGGCTTGACTTGGCACAACACAAGGGCTGACTATGGGCAGCTAACCAGGCACAGGATGGGGGGAGGGAGATGCTGGACACCCCCTGTGCTCTGAACTGATTTGCCTACAGAAGATGTGTCAAAGCTGTGACAAAAAAGCCAGAGGCAAAGCAGCCAGGGCAGATGCTGTTACCACCCAGACATTTGGCTCTGCGTGTCTCTGCCCAGACACAGCTCTCCTGTGGGTCAGCAGCTTTCCTGGATGCAGGAAAGTGGGCAGCATTGTGCAGGACAGCTCCCAAACAAACATGCTGTTGCTGCCAGCAAAGAGGCTGCAAGTGTGGAGGAATAAACAGGGTGCTGAGGGCTGCCAAAGTCATCAGGGAGAAGTGGCTTGTGGGGAGAGAAGATCAGCATGTGGGACTGAGGGGGCTGACTGCTAGCAAAGGGAGGCATTTGGAGCTAACTTGGGAGTCTGCAACAAAAGGAGAACCAAGCGGCAGCTTGGAAAGGGTACATGGCAAGTCAGTTCAGCTTCTTTTCCTTACACACATGGGTAGATCCAACAGGACAGGCCAAGCAGACTGTACAACGTATGCAATGACAAAAAATAATCTAAAGAGGGATGTTTGCTTGATTTGTGTATCTTCATCTTGGTTGCCAGTTGTCACGTTGGTGGATTCCAGCTACAGCTCCTCATTGCTCTGACTGAATTGCTAAATTCAGGTTTACATTTTTACTTTCTGTAAGCACATTAGAATTTTAATTAAGCACTAAGTCAGTGTTTTAGCAGGTTTTTGAGACTTTAGCTATTTATCTTGTTGATTACAGTTCTCTCAGGTCCTTAGTTGTGGCCTAAATTTAGAGCAATTCTGACTGACTGAGCCCTGCAGGATAACTGCTACAACTATTCATTAAAAATGAAGAGATCAGAGCTGATCAGCAGACTGTGGGAGCCTGCTGTGTGGCTGCTCTGCATCCTGACAGTCTTCTGATCTACAGGTGCTAAGGCCAGGTTAATGCTGATCTGCTGGCAAAACACAGCATGAAAGACTTTGAGAAGATGCAGCAGCTCCTTGATACAAAGCTCAATAAGAAACTGTTTTCCTCCTTGTTGTCCACCTGAGATGGTGAGGAAAGAGGGTTTTAAGCAAAGCAATTATTTTCTTTCATGCAATTTCCATTAGGCAGCATGAGCCCTTCTCAAGGCAAAATGTTTATGTCCCCCATTTTTGTCTCTCTGGGGAGCACTTTGCAGGAGATGAATGAGGGTCCCTGCTTTACAAAGCACATGGGAAGCTCACTCAAGGAAGCAATGCCACAGTTCATGTTTAGCCAGCTTCCTGTGGAACTTTAGGGCTTTTTTCTAAATTCTACAGGCCCCACATCTACTTGTACATGAAAAGTTTATCACACACATGAACATGAAAGACTAGCTATCAACAGCCAGTGAATCCAGCTATCAACATGCAAAACCCTGGCCAGATCTGTCAACATCTGGGACCAGACGCATCTCTTAAATGCTGTTTTAAAATTGTATCACAATAACAAATGTAGTGATAATGAAATGCAGAGTCTGGTACCATCCAAAATTCAGCAGCTGTGGTATTTGCCATGGTGCTGATCTCCCAAGTTTAAGCAGTTTGTGCTAGAAAGTGGTTCTTGTAGCTCAGAAAAGAAATTCAATGCAGAGGAAAAAAAGGATTATTCTTCTGTGTATGACCCTGGCTAAAACTTGTTAACCAGCCCCAGCTGTAGCTCTCCCTCCTGTGCTAATCACATCTGTAATAACATTCAGCTGTTTGTTCTGTTCCAATGGTTAAGCCAAGGTGGTGGCTCCCATGGATGGTGGGGACATTGCTGGGGTAAAGCCACCTCCTCCTCTGCTCAGTGCACACCCACCAGTGCTGGTCTTCATGCTGGTTTTTGCAGTACTCTGGAACACCAAACCCATTTTCAAACCAGGGCTGACCATCTCCCCCAGTGGCCCTTCACCACCAGCTAGGAGAGTGCCCTTCTCAATTCATCCAAATTTTAAAATCATCTGAGCTTTCCTCTTCTCTCATCTCATATTCCCTGCAATTAATTCAATGTAACTTCAGCTGTTCATTGAGGAATTGGGAAGACCTTGACCAAACAGCTCTTTGTTTCCTCCCTGCCCATCAGTCTGCAGTTTCCTTGCCTCAGGCCAAAGCCAAGTAAAGTGAAAACTTTTTCTTTAACTCACTTACATTTCCCTTTCACAATAAAACTCACATCTAGGTCACTGCACCAGGGCCAGCCCTGCCTCAATCTACTTTGCCAAGCCCCATTTGGGTATCCAGAGAGGAACCAGCTCCTGACCAGGCCAGACTCCTGCTTCCCAGTCAGTAGTGACAGCACACACCAGCTGCATCCAAGGCAGTTCCACACAGCCCTCCTTGGGCTCATCTTGTGGAATTCTGGGATTGAGGTAAATGGAGGATGGAAGAAAAGAGAGATGCAAGCCCCTTGAGCTGCACAGAGAACTTGCTACCTAAAGGCATTTGACTGCCTCAGAAAAAGGTAAATTTAAGGAACTGACAGCAAAGATGCTGTTTTGCTGAGTTTGAAATCTCATTTTTATGCTTATCTCATGCAAAACTGGAAATAACACTGGTCACACTTACAACCTGCTAAGGGGAAAATTGGCAACAGCCAGTGCAAATGAATTTTCTGCACAAAAATCTTCCTCAGAAAGCACCTTTCAGAGAAACATATAAAGACACATACTTGCAGAGCAAAGCCAAACCCCTGCAATCTCCATGAAGGTTTGTGCAGCAACACATCTACAGCTTCCCACCACCTCTTCCCTGTCCCTCAGCTGGAGAGGATAATTCCTGTAGGTCAGTTGGAGTGAGCTTTCCCTAATCTGTGCCAGGGAAAGCTTCACCAACAGCTCAGAGTCTTCAGTGGCAGGTGAAGCTGGACAGGCAGCAGGTTGCTATTTCTCAATAGAGGTTCATTCAGCTTTACATATGCTATCATTACTTTGGATCCTCCCTGTGATCCTAAAGCAAAGAATTGTGAGAAATAAAGAATATTTTTCTAAAATTGGGTATGAAGAGCTGAGCACGGCCCCATCTCTGAGGTGATGATATGGAGGAAAAACCCAGAGACGTCATTATTCCCTGGAATCAAGTCCCAAACCTTCGATCCAGTCTTGAGTCCATTTGAAAGTGATGCAAGGCCTCCAAGAGTGGAGTTGTGGCTCTAAAACTGGAGAAGTGCTATGCTGAATGTGCTATTTTCCCACCTGCTCCAGCTACAGAAGGGGCAGCTCATTGTTAGAGCCCCCAGCCCATTCCTGGCTGGTTGTGAGCATCCCAGTGGAAATCCCTCCAAACTGCTGGTGCATTCCAAATAAATGGGTCCAATTTAGTAAAGCTACAACAGCAGCTGAAGCAGCGGGGAAGGATCATACCAGCCACCAAACAGGGAGATCAGAGAAGGAAAAAGCTTCCAATAGGTGATGATGAGCAGGTGGGAAGAAGTAACCGGTTCATCCCTGAGAGAAATGTGAACAGAGCCTTACAGTCCCCCAAGCAATTCCTGGGAGGGGCTGCAGGAGCAGCCCCCAGCCTCATATTAGCACTTTATTTATAGCACTGCCTTCCTGTTCATAGTCTTCCCAACTGTGAATTGCAATTCTTCCTTCCCCAGCATTATGGTGACGGTTTGGAACATGGAGATGTTTGGAAAGGGGCAATTTGGCATCAAGAGTCTAAAAAGCAGATACAGATGACATCCTAAATGTATCTTTTATGAGTTTGGAATGATTCCTTTAAATTAAGCTCAGAGTCTGTGACAGCTTCTGGTAGTGTCGCCAATAAGGAAATAAAACAAAAAAAAAAAATCAGGAGGTTCTCAAGCATATATAGTCTTAGAGATCTGGATACCTTGCTTTCCCTCATGCAACTCTGAACTGCTTACCAATGCTTCCCAAGAACAGTGCTTCAATAATTTTAATTTGTCTTTACACCACATATGCCCTCGAACCCCAACATACTTTTAAATTCAAGGCTTATAAAAAATTAAATGCTCCAATAATTCTAAATTGTGTTTGTTCAGTGTTACTGGAGCCTGGCCATTCCTTCAGTTTGGGGATTTTTGTTTTGTTTGCAGTGGGTGGAGGAAGAAATGCTTTCTATTAGTGCTTCAAATTGGAAGCTGGTCAAACAGCATCACAGCAGAGTGATTCAGCAGCCTCTGAGCCGATTCACAGTGTGTCATAAAATGGGATTAGGAAAACAACAATGCTTGGAGGAGAAAGAGCCCACACAAAGAATCACAGCAGGAGAACAATACCAGAAAGAACAGAGGGGAATAATCCTCACTTGGCTTCTGAGAAGCAGGCTGGATGACCTAATTGGTGGCTTTCAATGCCCTTCATTCTCCATGGAGTTGCAGGGTTCAGCTGCCTGGATCCAGCCACCACAGCTTAATAAATGTCTCTGCATGGACTGAACCACCCCAAGTGTTCCTGCGTGCACATCTGCAGCCTCTTCTCATTTATCTGATGAGACCCTGGTCCCCCTCTGGCACAACCCCAGATGCTACTTCACAGCAGGCAGGAGCTTTTGCAGAACTGGTGGTGAAAGTCCATGCCCACTTAGGACAGGAAGCAGAGGGAGCAATCTTAGGCTGTGAGTTAAAACCAAAAAACTGTGTTTTGTTAGTGTTACTCAAGAAGATACACACACACACTGGCAGCACATCAAAGGAGCTGAGGTGGTGTCAAACTAAGCGTATTTCCTAGCACTGTCCTGAACAGGAATTAAACATGTATTTTGTGATCTCTGGAATCCCAGCATCAGCAACCACCTGTGGCCAATGCCAAGATGGAAGAGGAAAGCATCATTTAAAACTGATTTTCTGTGAACCTGAAGATCCTATTGACAACTTTGTTTTGAATTAGGCCGTACCTGTTACAATTGTGGCCTTGAAGTGACAGAGGAAGGCAGGGACTCTCTCAGGAGTTTTACTAGATCAGCAGTGGTTGGATTACTCCTATGCAGAACATGAAATCACAGCTTCACGCAATTGAGGAAAATCAGACAGTTATATCACAATTCCAATAAAATTGCTATATCCAAAGTCTGGTAGAGACAGAAAAACAAGGAGAAAAAGAAAAATCTCATATGCCATGGTCTCCTCTTGTAGACTGAAAAAATGATAAAGTGCATCCTTGTAAATAACTCACTGCAGGATGCCTGGAATTTTATAGAAACTACTGCAACTTGTCTCCCAGTGGGGAATAACTGAGGCATGAGATAAGAAATCAGCTATATCCTAACTTGCAGTGACAGGTGCTGTAAAAGGAAATGCCCAATAAAGGCTTAATGTATAGGAAGATGGCAAATAACTGTCTGTAATTCTGAAATAAGAAAGCATAAAGCAATTCTCTAATCATGTCTAATCAAAGAACACCATCAGTTGCTAAAAACTTCTAGGGGAAAAAATGGGAGAGGTGGTAGCATGCTTGTCTTTGTCAGCAGTGTTTTGGGAATATTTTAGCCTGCAGAATTTAATTCCCTGTTATTACTTCTGAGCCTGAAGGTGAAAATCATAAATCAGAACCATTCATAACATGCAATAATGGGATGAAATACTCATAAGGAGAGTTACATGATGAATTCCTTTGGGACTATGTGTAACCCTTACAGTCCTTGATGATAGCATTAAAAATCCTTCTGTCTCTAACATCTATTCTTCCCTAATTCCTATACTAGTTTTTCTTTTTTCTTCTCTCGCAACATTTCCAAATTTTTGTGTCATATGGCACTCCTTCCACCGTTCCTCCCTGCTGCCTTAAATATATGTTTAAGGCAAAATCATAGGAAAGCATTCCATGCTTAAAAAGATGGGCAGGTTTTAAATTACACTGTAATTACTAATAAGGGCTTTTAATACCTGAGGAGCTTTCCCAGGGAGTTTTGTTCTGATTTCAGGACCCCCACTGTTTTTATAGAGGGCCATTTGGTCCCATTTGTAAGGTGGTTACATTTTGAGTAACAAAGACGGCAGTGCTCTAAAATAAAATAACAGTCCCCACCCTTCTTTCACCTTCTCATAACTGAGTTTAAAAAAAAAATCCCAACCCATGATGTGTTAGAGCTTTGTTTTCTGAGTAACAAGACCAATCATGTTTCCTCTGCTTGAGGTCTCTCTCTTCTCTTCCTTTTCTTCTAGGTCCTCTGGATCCACACTGACATAGAAATATCCCATGATGGAGAAAATAATGCACACAGCAAAGAGGAGAACAGTGAACAACACAAATTCAGCCCACTAGGAAAGAAAAAAGAACAGCAGGTCAGGAGACCCCAGACTCTCAGTCCGGAGGATATCTCTGCACTTTCAAGTGGCTTTTAAAGAGCTGGGTGAAAATTATTTCTCAGTTTCCAAAATGGCTCACGAGAAAGAAACTTTCTCATCCTGTTTTTCTGGTAAATGCTTGTACACATAATGTAATTATAAATATGTGATACCTCTTGAAACAGAACAGTTAGATTGAGTTGGTGTCATTAAATCTTTTCCTACAAATCTGACTGGAACATACCCACCTGGGCTTTTTGCCTACAAGATTCTTTTGGGAGAGGCAGATCCATGCTGGCCAGAGATATGCCCCAGTTCAGACCTTCATGGCATCATCCCAGAAGCTTCACAGCCTGAATTAAACTACCTCTGCACTATGACCTCCCCCTGTCAGCCTGACATCTCAGGGATGCCAGAGGCAGCTGGCCTGGCAGGATTCCCCAGGCGAGACCCTGAGGAAGGCTGAGTGCCCACTGCTCTCGTTTCTGGGGAGCACTCGGCGTGTGGCTGCCACTGTGTGCAGGCTCCAGGTGCAGACACAGCCAGCTTGCCTAGAGCTGAGCTCCACAGAGTTACCAGCACAGGTCAGGCACTTCCCCAGTGTGTCAGCTGTCCCCCAGCCAGGGGAGCTCCACTGAGGGCCCCACAGAGCAGGGGCTGGGGGACAGCTCAGAGTGAGCTGCTGTCAACTCATGTGCAGGAGCCTGGGGCTGGGCAGAGAAGCTGTGCACCAGGACATGGCCATCCAGAAGCACCAGAAGCCTGTTGTAAAGCATGACCTCTGCTCTAAGAGCCAAACCATACCTGTGCCATTGGTGCAGCCTCGGCAACAATGAGCACAAAGGTATTCCCCACAGCCACGGTGAGCAGCCAGCCTGCCTGCAGCACCGACTTCATGCTGGCTGGAGACTGAAAAGAGGAGAAGGGCCTGATCAGTGGGAATCCTGCTGTGCACTTCAGCCCTGTTTCACCCTCTGGAGTTCTGCCCAGTCCTAGGCTCAGCCTAGGAGGAGATGGTGGAATTTTCTCTGTGTGGAGTGGTTAATCTGTGGTTAATCTCAACATGTGCATACAAGGAGCTTTCAAAACATGGGCAGGAGGACACACGAAGAGGCAGGAGGTGCTGTTGTTGCAGAGCTGGATCCAGGTCATCCCCAACCTGCATCATCTGAAATGGTACGATCAGGATGTCCAAGGAGCCACACAAGCCCTGCAGCTTGGAGTCTGGTGCCATGTGGCTGTACACCTTTGGAAAAGAGACTGGATCTTGATGTTAAATTTCCTGCTGAGGAAAAATTTTTCACATCCCATTACAGATCATCCCACTGCATTAATCATCCTCATTAATAAACATCTGCACCTTACTCCAGGGATAGATTTGAACAGCTTCAGTAGCTGTTTGACCATGTAATGTCTCAGTCCTCTCTTCTCATCAACCTCCCCAGACAACAATCAAATCATCCCTTGCAGGTTCATTACCCCTTGCTCCCTTGTTACAACCTTGCATGTTTAGACCCCTTCAGTCTCTCAATTTAAAGCAGGTGCCAAGTCCTCATGCCACCCTGTAGCCCTTGAGATAACTTGCCTTTATATCACTGAAAAATACATAGCACAAAATACTTCACTAGGAGAAAACCCTGATAATAAAATATTCAGAGTTTTCCCGTAAACTATCCAGTTCTGTTCTGTGTTCTCAGGTTGACCAGAAAAGGATATTTCCAAGTATCACTGAGAACAGGTACCTTCAGAATATTAATTAATTTAGCTTGAGGGCACCCAGCAAGCTGTGTTACAATCCCACTTTCAGTTGATAGATAACATTGTTAGTGTCATGTCAAAGGAGGTATGACAAGTCAATGGCAGATGCAGAAATAAATCTTGAAGTCTAATTGTAAGGTCCTTATCTTTAAGTGGAGTACCTGAGAATAGGAGAAGGCCAGACCTGTAATGGAGAACATCACCTCCCCAGCAGATATCAGTAAATATTGTGGTAACTGCCAGGCCATATGGACATTGTTGGCTTTGATGTCTTCTGACTTCCACATCTCAACAACACCCCCAGAAATCTAGCAGGAAAAAACAGGCAAGCTGATTAGCTGCTGAAAGATCAGATTTTTCTTAGCCTGAACAACAGCAGCAAATTTACCAAAAAACAGTTTTCAGCAAAGGTGGAAAAAAACCTCTGCCTTTGAAGCAAACTATGGCTCTCAACCCTGACATTTCCAAGCCTGTTGGGAATAGGATGACTCCTGCTGCACAGGGCAGAGAGCAGGATGGAAGCATTCCAGCCCATTTAGGTACCACAAGAATTCCCTGAATTATTGCAAACCAACAAGTTGTCTTCTGTAGTGGGGCTGGGAAAAGCCTGTGAGGTTCCAGTGCAGAGCCTGTGACCTGCTGCTGTCCCCAAGGTCAAAAAAGGATGAGAGGGTAATTGCTCATTGCATCTATGTGGTCACTGCTCCCATTTTATCAGCACTGTACAACTTCCCTATGATATCACTGACACCTAAACAAATTCAACTCACGAATGCCAAGGGTAGCAAAGACTGCTCCATATTAGATCTATTCAGATAGTTATGGTAGCTGTATTCCTAATTATTTTTGTTTCTTTTCCCAGGTGTAATTAATACTGCCTGTCATGCACAGAGGCTCAGAGGCTGAGAGAGATTTGACTAGAAGCCAGGAAAACACTAGATGGAAATGACTTCAGGCAGAAAGCCCTGTGTTTAAGGAGAGTACTTGGGAAAATACAAGGGATGTTTACGAGATGTTCTTAATCACCAATCATTGCCAGGGAGGCAACTCAAGAAACTTTATTTCAGCAGGCTAAAAGGGGTGAGAAGAGTGCTGTGCATTGCTCTTTAGCCCATAAACAAATGTCACAAGCACCATGCTGTAACTGCACATTGAGGAAGGCTGGGTAGAAGGCAGCATCCCCATGATTTAAGTTTCACAGTTCAGCTACATTAGCAGACTAATATATTGTATTCCTGGTTCTTCTATATGGCACTCCTGGCAGAGGAGCAGGGCTCAGTACAAATCACTGCAATAATTAAAAGTGATCTTGGCCTCAAGCAAACTAACTCTCTACAGAAAGCAGAAACCACAGAGAGAGATGGAAAAACAGAGGATAAAAAATATTAAAGTACTAGCACAAGGTTTGGAAGGGCTGAGGCACAGAGCCACCCTGAGCAGCCAGGGCTATAGCAGGGACTTATGCAGATGGGACCACAAACTGGAATCCTTGGCACAGTGACATGGGACACATTTACCTCAGCTGGCCCTGTTACCAGAGGCTCTGGGGCAATTTTCTTAGTGTTATATTTTTAATGCAACCTCTCTATCTGGTTTCTCATCTGGTGAAAGAGGCTTGCAGCCATAGAAGAGGGGTCTGGCCAACATCACTTCAAGTGTGTGTGTTTTATGTACATAAATCTCTGCACTCACAGATGGCAGCATCTGCTTGTTCCCTCCAGGGCTGTACATCCCATTCCAGCTACTGGAATTGGAAAAAAAAATACCAGGTGCTTCATGGCTATATTTTTCCCCCGACGTATTTGGACTCTGCAGACATGAACAGCTCCCATTAATTGCCCAACAGGGAGATGCTACTGCCAGGGAGTAGCTGACAACACTTTGCTCTTCTCATCACAACACGGCAGCCAAAGTCCCAGAGGGCAGCTTAGCAGTGTGTCCTGTCAGACTCAGTTTGTCTGTGTGCCTTTGTGGTGGAAAGGTTAAAATGGGAGCTAAGCTGATCATGTTCATCTCCGTGGCTCCAGCCAGCTGGACCAGAGTTGAAGCAGTGTGTCTGAGAGGTTGGCAGGCAGGGAAAGGAATCCACCCTCTCAGCAGTGCTCAGACCCCATCAGGGCCAGGCTGTTCAGAAAACCATGCCTTGACTTTACACAAGGTTCCAAATTAGCTGTCCAGGCAGTGAGAGGAGGAATCAGATGTACAACCTCACCAACCTCCTCCCTCAAGACTTTGTCCCTCTTCCCCTATGCATAATCTACAAAATCTTGGAAGATCAGACTTTAGTTCAGTAAGCTAAATGTGAGGATAGAGCAGAATGGTTCTGCAATTTTTTGAGTGTGAGACACCACCAGGTACAATATTTTAAAGACCACAAGCAGAGTCAGCTCTTGGCAGGTGGTAATAACTCTTTGCAGTGCTCTGGGTCAATGTTAACTGCTCAAGGATGGCATGAGACCAGCACAAACCACAGATTACATGATTTTCTATGGAGGATTTCTATCAAGGAAAATATTTTACTTTTTTTGAACCCATGCAGTCTGCCATGACCACAGTGTAAGGTGGAACAAATACACACCCACCTTGTTTATGTAGGTACCAAAACTTTCTACAATTCCTTTGATAACAAACTGCCCTCACTTGGCTACTGCTGAGGGATCAGACAGTGGACAAAGCAAGTGAGAGTCACCAACACAGGAACAAAAGCACTTCCAGAGAGTAGAACAGGAGTGTGTGACCATCACAGGAACACTTACATTAGTTATCACAATGGTGTATGAGGCACCAAAGTCAAGCAGCCCCAGCTCCAGGGGGAACTCTCCTGTTTCAGTTATGCATTTTCCATTATTATATCTAGATAAAAGGATGAAGGACAGGATTTCCCAGTTAGTTCCACAAACAAAGAACACAGAGCAGAGCTATCAAACACACCCCTGAAATGGAGCAGGAGGATGCAAGATGTAAAAATGCAGTAGTGTTTACATCAGACAATCACTGGAGTTCTTGCTATCTTATCCTTCCAGAAGCACTTAGACACTGACTGGAATTCATCTAATGACCCAGGCCATTGCTAACATTTTTAATGGTTTCTGCTCTTTTGTAGTGCTGATGTAATTTTTTTCCTCCCCTTTGGTTTATTTTCCTTCCAAATTTTGCTGCATTTCTTCAGGAAATATAGGCCAGACAAGTAGTCAATAGGAACTCAGAGATGTGGACCCAGAAGCAACTTTGTTTCCTTTCAATAGACCAAATTAGCCTTCATATTTGTTCTTCTGATTTTGGATGTGTGAGATGGCACAGAGGCTCAGCAGCATTGCCACAATGGCTGCTGCATCCTACTAAATTGCAGCAATAAATATTTTGGATGGAGCTGATGCAGAGAAAAGCCATGAAGCTTGTTTGGAAACATTGGAAATGCTAGAAATACCCTACAAGAGCCAACTCCACTACTGCCAAACCAAGGCCATATGGAGCCCCTGTCTAACAAGCCCAGCCTGCAAAGCCATGTAATGCTACTTGGTGTCACCAGCCCACATACTAACACTTTGTAGGATGGAATATGAACTGGCCTTTCCCTGAGAGCACCCTAACACCAGGAGCTTGGGCCTGAAAGAATAACAAAATAAAGCAGGCACTGAATGGCAGAGGAGACTTTGCTATGTCCCACCTTACTCCACTGACAGATGCACAGGAATGATGAGTCTCTTCCCTCCAGGTCCCCACATAATGTGAGTAAAAACTTCTGCACACACATGACTGGCCTGGAACACCTGCTCTGTACTGAGTTGATAATTCTGCTTTTTACAAACATCTGCCCCCACAACCACATGCCAAGATAATAGCAATGCAGGTTTTGCTATTAGGCTGAGCAAAAGTCTCTTTGTACCCAAGGAAATGCCTCAGCAAGGACCTTCAGCTCAGGAACAGAGACTTACATGTCCCTCTCCAGCAGTGAGTACTCAGAAGCACTGTAGTTTTTCTGAACAGCAATAAACATTTTGCTATCGATGGTGAGGTTGACATCTTGGCTCAAACCATTAATGAATCTGCAAAGAAACCATATATCATTGGCCTGTCAGACAGGGCAGAAGCATAACAGCAGACACTTTAGAAGTTTGCATACTCTCCCAAAGCATTCTGTAATTCTATAAGGTTATGAGAGTCTCTTCTGCAAGTTTCCAAAATATTTGTCTGATTCATTGCCTAGTTTTTCAATACAAGATTATTTTTCTTGTTGCACAATTTTACCCTCTTACTCTTTTTTGTATAAAAAGTGTCCCTCACTTTTTGTGGTCTAGAACCTCCTGGCAATCCAGTCTCAGAGACCAACAAAGTTTGCAGCAAATTCTGAGGAGACAATGAAGATGGATCAGAGGGCTGGGGCACCTCTCCTGTGAAGACAGGGTGAGAGAGTTGGGGCTGTTCAGCCCAGAGAAGAGAAAGCTCCAGGGAGACCTCAGAGCACCTTCCAGTACCAGAAGACATCCTACAAGAGAGCTGGAGAGGGACTTCTTACAAGGCTATGGAGTAATAGGACAAGGGGGAATGCCTTTAAACTGAAAGAGGGTAGGGTTAAACCATGTTAGATTTTAGGAAGAATCTCTGCATTATGAAGGTGGCTAGACACTGGAACAGGTTGCCCAATGAAGTTGTGCATGCCTCATCCCTGGAAATGTTCCAGGCCAGGTTGGATTGGTCTTTGAGCAACCTGGTCTAGCAGGAGGTGTCCTTGTCCATGGCAGGAGTGTTGGTACAGAGTGATCTCAAGGTCCCTTCCAGCCCACACCATTCTGTGACACTATGGTGACAGTTCCATGGCTGTGTGAGGGGGCAGTCTCAGCCTACCACAGGAAACTCTGAAGTTGTCCATCCTGATGAGCAGGCACACCATGCTGGCAAAGAGCTTCTACAAATGGCAAGGAGTTTTCTAGCATAATAAGATATCTTCATCAAAACTAAAACTTATATGGGAAGAGTTTCTTTGGTGTTCTTTCATAGACAAAAGATAGCTTCTTTCTGGCAAGTCAAAAATTGATAGTAAAACCAAACCCTTTTAATTTGACCTATACTTTCCTGAAGTTAGTCAAGTGCTTAACAAAAGTAAGTTTTTAGTGCAAAAATAGTTTCTTCCTAGGGAAACTTCTTTACAAATTCTTAAATGGAAAGTCTGGGGATTTTGTCAAAAATCTCAATAAGAAAATATTTTAAAAAATTCTGACTGAATCAAGTCTTCAAGGGAGTTTAGTCAGTAGAAACCTTAACAAGTACAGGGCCATGAAGAGATACTGTTCTCCTAGTTTATCTACACAGGCTTTCAGATAGAGGGGCTGGACATTGATTTTAAGGTTTGTTTTGTTTGGTTGGTTTTTTATTTATATTTTATTGGTTTTTTGTTTTTATTTTATTTTATTGTGGTGGGTTCACTTTGTTGTGTTTTTTCTAATTTCACCTTGTCCAAATCCTCTAGAAAGTCTAGCTGGAATCCTGGTTTTCTGGGGTTTTTGGGAGGGGGTTTTGAGTTTTGTTTGTTTTTGTTTTGGTGGTTTACTGTGTTTTGGTTTTTTTGAGGGTTTTTTTTTGCAAATTTGCATCTTCTGCACTTCAGCATCCAGCACAAACCAGAACAGGAGTGTTCATGGACTAAATAGACTAGCTCAAATTGGGAAGAGTGAACTAACCAGAGCCCAATGCCCAGCTGAATTGTTTATGAGGATGTAAAATTGTTGCTGCATCCAATTTAGTAGACACTTGTGCATGAGTTTGGGTGAACATCATGGGTTGGCCAATTTGCAAAGGACATAGCAACAGCTCCTATCCAAATTGCTGCTTCCCTTTCATCAGTGAGATGAATTTGCCACTTTTCCAAGGAAGGAGCTCTTTTATGTTGCCATCACAGCCCAGACTGTCCTAGGCAGTGAGCAGCAATCGTTCTCAGCTCTGCATGGCATGTGTGGGAGGTGACACTCTGTCAAGCCTCCACAGCTGACACCCAAGTCTTGCATGAGAAGTGTGGACTGGATTCCAACCCAAGAACATCTGGGCTATGTTACATACAGATGCATCAGACAAAAGCACTTTCCCTCACCCAACCACCACCAAATCCTCAACAAAAAGCCATTCCTACCTAACAGCTGCCAAACCATTTTCCGGCTTTGCTTCCAAGTCTGTAATCTAAAAAAGAGGAAGAAAAAAACCCATCAAACATATTTATTAATGCTGCCTTACAATGTGTGCCAGACAATAGTGGTGTCTTCAGGGTTACACATGTGCTGCAAAGCCTGTGGAAATCCACTGGACTCTCACATAAGCTTTACATCAGGCCACAGCTGGGGAGCCCTGGTACAATGAAGCCAATGGCAAAATTTCTTCTCCAAGCACTTAAGATGAGATCACATCTTTTCTCCTCATCACTTCTGCAACAAGGGCTATTGAGTTTTAGCCAGTCAAACTTCTACTGTGGCATGTAACACTCTCCAAAAAAAGTACTTTTCTTGATATTGAGATAGCAAGAGAGCACTATCCACATTAGCATCTTTCAGTGACTAGTTACAATTAAACTTAAGTGCCTCACTCCTACAAAATCTGCAAATGCCTAACTTTCAGACCCTGATTCTTGTCATATTCACAGACTTCACAGAAGTCTAAAGCTGAGAGGAAGTGCTAGGTTACTATACTGATGATCATGCCTCACTCATGCTTTCCCTGCTCCTTAATACTCAAGAGATTAAACTGTTGTAATGTGCAGGCAGAGAGTAGGAGAAACCAAGATGCTTGTTTGTGCTCACAAACAGATCCCTCAGACAGATCCCTGCAATGGTCATCTGGATTGGCATAATGGGAGTGAGAGTCTCTCTCCTGGAGACCACAGCTAGAACAGCAGCTAGATAGTTAATCAAAACTCATTTGGAAAAACCTATTTGGTGTACAATGCTGAAAAAACACAGTTAAGACACAGCCCTGCCCTGGAGGTTGTATGTCACAAAAAAAACCACAAAGCAAAGCTCTTGGCTGGTAGAAATCCAGAGCTCTGCCATGTCCACTGAAGATGGCAGGGCAATTTCAGTTTGCACTGCCCACAGATGGAACCCAGGCAAGCCAAAAGGGACTTTAGAAACTGGCTCTCTCTCAAAGTTTTCTGGCCCTTTCTCCACACATTTTTTCCTGATGCAAAACCCTGAGTTTCTGAGACCAAGGATCCAGAATTTTAGTATATCTATTAATGTCTACTGTACTTCAGAGCAATATGCTACCCACAAATAACATATGCCCTAAATAATAAATAGCCACAGTGAATAATAAATGTCAGAGCAATAAATAATAAACAACAACATCATTTTTTTTCCATGGGAGACACATGGGGATGAATACTCTAGTTTGTTGCAGACAGACCATCATATTCACTGATGATCCCCAGAGCTCTCAAATTCATTTCCTGCCTACTCAACAGCCCACAAAGGAGAAGAAACCAATTTCAGCTAGGATCCTTCCAGGAAAGCACTCCCACCTGAGTGAGTGGCCCAAACCCAGCAGAGAGGGAGGTAACTCGAGGGTGAGCCCTGCAACACAGCAGTGATGTTGGCACTGCTGTCCTTGTGTTGTAATGCTGGAAAAGTATCATTTACCATGCTGTCTTCCACATCTCCCTTATCTAGAGCTGTGAATGACAGGTCAATAGCATCACCCAACAGCACAGATGTTTCCCAGCACATGAGAGCCTGCCTGTGCCAGGGTGGGCATTAATTTAAGCACAGTCGAGACAGCTGGGGCAGCATAGATGTACTGGAGCTCTGAGACTGATGTACTGGAGCTCAGCACATGAGAGCCTGCCTGTGCCAGGGTGGGCATTAATTTAAGCACAGTTGAGACAGCTGGGGCAGCATAGATGTACTGAGCTCTGAGACTGATATGCTCCAAGCCTGTTGCAGGCTTTTGCTTCTTGAAGACTGTATGAAAGTCACAAGTGTCAATTTCCTAAAGAAACAGCACAAAGCTCTCAGTGTCACAGGGAAAGTTAATTTTGTGTGATACTGAGCCCTAGACTCCAAACCATGAAGTTTGATCATCAGCAAAAAATCTTGATGCTATGACCAAATAAATTCTTTAAAGTAATTTCAAAAAAGTTATATGGTTTCTACTATATAATATTGAATGCTTGGTGTGGCTACCCTGCAAGGTAAAAGGCTCGGGAACTGCAAAGAGAATGGATATTTTAGCATGAGGACAGATTCTGATGGCATTTACACACCTGCCACAATTTGCAATAACACCAAGAATTTCAAGACAGCTTCTTAGGATACAGCTATGCACAAAAGATATCAGAATCTGCCCTACACATCCCATATGTCCCTCTCTGATTGTTGCAGAAATACACGGAAGTCCAAATACAGCCAGCTCTGCTGCACAGCCTGAAATGAGCTTAATTATTTATTCTGTTCAGCAAAACAAATGGGCCTTCTGTGCTTTTTCACTAAACACTTGCAATAACTAGTCCCAGAATCATTCCTCTGATGCTTTTATTCCATGGCCAGCCCTAGAGCCTCTTTAACATCTTTGCTTTATAGAGCCATCTTTGGGGGAAAACCTCTGGCTCTGTTTCCCCAGCTTTCTCCAGCTCTGCTGCCTAGCAGGCATGACTCTTCTCTCCCACTGCAGCACTCAGTGGATTAAAGTGTGCCCAGAAACTCTCAGATGCCACAACACCTCTATTAATCAACCAACAGAAATGTGTACAGATCCAGTGCCTCTAGCTAAGAAGTGAGGTTCAGACCATCTGAGAGCAATCAGACAGACATTGCAACTGAGCAAATGAATTAATGAGCCTATTACCCCATTGTAGCATCCCAGCCATTGAATTAATACTGTATTTACACTTCACTCCCACACTCACTAAGCGGCTTGATAGGCTTCCTTCTGCCTCAAAAACAATTAAGCTGTATACTGATTTTTCCTTCACAGTGTAGTTAAAAGCAAGAGTCAATCCTTGATGTTGCAGGGTGAAGTGAAGGTTCTGTTGCTCTCCATTCAATATTAATTTTGAGTACTCAGCTGGGCTCTGTGAAAGAAAATAAACTTGGTTACACTTTCTTCAGATAAGAAAGGATTTGTATTTTCCTACCAGCTACAACACTATCCCCTCTTTAAGAGAAACTGTAATCCTGTTATCCTTTATTCCTAATTACAGGTGAATGTAAGGTGTATGCTTTGCCAGGGAAATTCTTCTGCAAATGTTCAATTTCTGTTTCATATAACAGATATTATGCTTCATTTGTAAAACTATTCCCATGCACTTCTGAGGCAATGGAGCAGAACAAGCTTTTGCATCTGTGGGCTTTATTAGAAAATGCCTGAAAAAAACTCCATCCTTTCTTCAATGACATGCAAGTCAGGCCTTTCAGTCCCAAATATATGCTTACCTGAAAAGACTCCACAGGCTGCTGAAATAGGTCCTTGTCTTGGATTGTCACTTGAACAGGGTTCTTTGCCAAATTCAGGACCCGAATTAAACTTTCTTTTGGGACAAGTCGAGGCATATCGGTTTCCTAATTAAAGTAAAAGGCTTTAAGTGCCATCTGTATGCTTTATTAGCACTTTAATATCTCTTCATTTTTAGCTATAATAGTCTTCCTCTCTGTAATGACAATTTTCCACCCCTTCCTCAAAAGAAGTTGCACTCAGAGAAAACCGAACATAAATCATTTTTAGGGAGGTTTCCTCACAGTAGCTCAATGGCCAACCCATCATTCCTCCCAAAAATTGCTCTTCACATCACTAAGTGTACAGACTACACACCTACTGAGGAGGTAGAACAATGTCACAGCTTTCATTATACAGCTCCCTTGTGCCTGGATTTAACCAACTGCCACATCAGAATGGAAAAATTTGTGCTTAGCTTTCAAAAGCAGTGACCAGAATAATTATTTCCCACTGCAGTCAGTGACTGGGAAAAGAATCAGATCAGAAGTTGAGTAGTTTTGAAAATCCCAGTCCAGCTTCATGTCTGTAATCAGTGCTTTTGCATTACTGGACACCTTGCTATCTACACAGCTGACTGTATAGATTGTATTTCTTGTTTTCTGAGAGAGGTAAGCTGATGCCTCCAGCACTGAGGTATCTCCTTCTGTCAGGAATCATTTCCTAGAAAGAGTACATCAATCAGTGTCAGCCTTGTACTACCTGCAGAGATAATATTTTTTTTAACGTCTCCTTTTTTTCTCATTTTATTTTCAAGTAGCTGCCAGCCATACTGCAGAGCTATTTATTTTTCTTCTATCTTATCTGATAATTTGGGTATTGCAGGCAAGGAATTTTGAACCTAACTGGGTGGGGAGACACACTACCAAAGAAGTCAGAATGAGCTGATTTCCCTGTATCCACATGCTGCTCTAGACCAACAGGCCTGCTAATATTATCCAGCAAGTTCCATTACTGTAGCTTTTCACTTCTGCTACCCACAGTCAATTGAAGGTGGACCATCTTATCCTCTTCTTTGCTAGATCTTAAAATGGCCTTTAGGGTAAAATTTTCATGTACAGGCAGAAGGGAACCTCTAACTCACCTTGCCTCTGCCCAGAGAAGTCACCCACAGCCAGAGCAAACTGTGGTGCTTGGCCAGAGATTCTGGTGGTGGCAATGAGAGCATTTCTTTGCTCACATAAAGAGATCAGAAAAAAGACCTGAACCCACACAATCTCATTTCAGTGGGAGGCTCATTAGGGGATTCACCTGAGGAGCCAGCAGATGTTAATCCAGGGCTGTGAGCCAGCCACTCTAACAGAATGTTTTAAGTATACATAGAAGCTTTAAAAATTAATCCTATAGTAACTTTTGTGAGACAAAGGTCAGCCAAAGTCTACACAATGCTGGTCACGAGCCAGAAACAAACAGTACCAATCTGTAGAAGCTAACATGGAATTTACAAGAGATGTGCTGCCACCCTCTCTGGGGATGCCTGGCAGTCCCTGATGCCTGTGTCAGCATTCACCTGCCTCCCCAGAGACACAATCTGGCATGTAAAAAAAGCCATCCCCATCATAAAACAGGAAAGTAATTAAATTTTAAAACAATTAAATAAAAAACCAAAACCACCACACACACACAAAAGACCCCAAACAGAAAAGTATAGGCAAGCTACAGCAAGAAATAGGAGAGAGAACAGACTACCTTTTGGAAATTAATCACTAGCATTAACTAGATGTCTGTCAAGCACTTTGACGATGGAAATCTAGAATATAGACCAATACAGATGACCAGCACAGCAAAACTGCAAAGACTAGGAAGAAAGACACAGAGACAAAGAGAGGGAAAAGTAGACAAGGTAAGAATTATCATTAGCAACTGGATCAGTATGCTCAGTTGTAAAGAAAACATTACAAAGTTTGATCAAGGAGCACAATGGCTTAAAGGATTATCTACCAGACATTACTAATTACACCCCATGGAAAGAAAGAATTTCTGAGGAATGCCTTGTGCTTTACTTACATTTATTTTGACTTCTATAACAGCTGCAAGTCCAAATGCCAGCCCTGCAAGGATCATACCTGTTGCCATTTTCCTAATAGGTCTATGGAGCAAATGAAAGAGGTACCATTAAGGAAAAAAAAGTAATTTAAACTGTAGAATACCATTCCTCAGAGCCAAAGATGTGCCAAAACCATGTAATAAACTGTCCAACAGGTGGCACTCAGGATGACAGGCTGTTTAAATTGCCAATCTCTTAACTTAAAACTATTTTATTATTCTGCATGAGGCCAGCACTTGAGGCCAATTAAAACTGATATGCCATGAAAAGAAGTTCCTTCCTTGCAAGTTTCATATTATCTTTTTCCCAGCTCTTCTAGTGGGAATAGCTCATGACATTATGTTAATCCATGATGTTGGAAGGAGCACCAGAAATGATGTCTCTTCAAGTCCCTTTTGGGAAAGGCAAAAGAAAAGTAACATTCTATTTAGCAGTGGGAATGAGGAATAGAAAAATGTGTAGTTTATGTCATCAAAGTTTCTGACCATCTGGGGCCTCATTCTGGGTTATTTCTCATGCCAATCCACCTACATTTCTAGAAAATAAAGAGCTTTCTTCTAAACTGAAGGCAAAGCTAGTGCAACTTTACCAGAATTATGTGAGAAAATCTGATATAAATCAGAATAATACATGTCCAGAACAGCAGATTCAAACTGAGTATTGAGTTGTTGAGATTTGAGAGAAATGTGGTTCTAGATTCAGTGATCTCCACTCTTTGTAATGGTCTTTAGTCGTGGCATTCAGTCTTGGTTAGTCCTTGAATTTGTGCTGCTGGGTGAACTACTCTGTGAGCTGGTCATCAGGCAGGAAGCTTTCTGCCAAGTCAAGGCACAGTCCAGGCCATGGGCTCACAATGGGATCAGGGAGAAGCACAGCCTCTGATGTGTGTCCTCCAAAAGGGACGCCATTGCAGGACTGGACAATATTTTTGAAATGTCTTCAGGTGCAAGTAGTTCAGCATGGTGGGAAAGGACCAGCAGGGTGAAGGGGAAGGCTTCTGAGGCACCTGCCACCCCCATCTTATGTGTTTTTTTCTGTCCAGCATTTTAGTTTGGATTGACTTCTGTCCAGTCACCCCACTCATTATCCTTTCCCATGCAGAAGTGGTGCTGGAGCATAGAAACTCATCTCATTTCAGTTGAAATTCCACTGACAAAGGCACTCCAAGAGTGCAGATAATGTACTTCCACTGCTACAGGGCAACAGCCCACAGAGGCAGAATACAGATACTCTGAAGTTAATTCACACAAATTGCATAAAGTGGGTCTCATAAACAACCCGAGGGCTGCTCCTATTACACTGCACTTCTTGCTAACATAGACTAAGGATAAAATGCTTGGCTCATATGGAAATCTCCTTGTGCACTCACTGGTTCAGATCCTAGCCAGCATGGGACCATGAATTTGGTCCCATGGAGACTTTTCAGGGAGGGAATTATTTAGGCATGACCTGGGAAACAAGGTGGAAAACAAGTTGATCAAATTCAAAGCGAGACTACTTGTATACTTTTGGAATAATCTGTACAGAGCAGAATCCAACATCACTGGGTTTTACCCTCTGGCATTTCCATGAGGAAATGAGTCACTTCCTTCTGTGGAAGAGAGGGATGCTGCCTCTTGGGACTGAAGTATACTCAAGTATTGGGAAAGGTAAATGGAAATTTGCATTTCTCTTCCTTAAAAACTGTTCTGCACACTTACAGCAAAAGAAAAAGCACAGATGCATCTGCATTGTCTCCAAGTACTTACGTGAAATTCAATTTGCACATGTTTATCAGGGGGTAGAGCCCAAGGTCAAAAATTGGGATGAAGACAAGAATAAGAAGTGGATTTAGGAACTGCAATACAAAAGAATGGGAGTTCAGTGACTAGAAAACAACTTTTAATAATTAAACCCATAAAGCAATGTCCTCCAGAAATAATTCCATTACAGAAGGGACATGGACAAACACTTAAAACCTTCTTTAAAAATATAATCACAGTTTGCACTTAACAGCTTCTGCTATTTAGTTTTCACAGACATGAATACATTTTGTTCATATCCTCCCCTCCAAGAGGCAAGCAAGCATCACTTGCCCAGTCTCCCTGGAGAAAGAGCTGAAACATGATGTTTTTAAAGAGTACAAACCCCACTGACAATAGAGACAGGTGACCTTTGGTGCTGTGGTGGGACTTTACAACAAATCAGCAACAATGGAAACATCTTGGGACTCCAGCAAAATCCCAGAGGAACAGGCACTATTCTGTGAGATTGGCAATTTCTCGCACTTCAACACAACCGAGTAATCCCTCAGGAACAAAATTTCTCCTGGTGGGAGCACAGCTTGTCTGCCAGCCAGAAGTGGCTGAGCAAGAAAATAGAGAGCAATGAAGAACAAGGAGGGGAAAATGTTGTTTCCGTTCCAAAGGAAGATTTCAGGGAACAGAACAGCTTTGAATTTCTCCAGAGCTATTCACCATAATAATTGTAATCAACTGTGACAACATAGCACCATCTTGCTTTCATGTTTTCATCTATCCTGCAGAAAGGGAGGAATCAAACATATTTCAAGAACAATGTTCATCCCAGGATAGGAGCCTGTTAAAAGGAGATACAGGTTGTATTCTCCACATGCCAGCACTAGCTCAAGAATTATTATGGTGGTTCATGCAGCCTGCACTGTTCTGCAAGACTCAACTTCTGCATTAGGTCTTCCTTGGGGTCTTCTGAACCCCAGGTTTGCAAAGCACCCTGTGAACAACAAGGCAGAGGCCACACCACACCAACAAGCAGGAGGACTGCTATTACCTTGAAAAGGAGCAGAGAATGGCCACTGGTCCCATGAGAAAAAACATAAATGAGAGAAAAGAAGAAGATACATTCTAAGGATTATTTCCTAAGCCTGTAATATCTTTTACCTGCATTTGGTCAGGCTGAAGGACATATATTCCCTGAAACAGAAAGATATTCCAAGTGAGTCATAAACACTATAACATATCAGTGCATATGGTAAATAAGTAATCAGTCCCAGAAAGGCCTTTTCAGCCAAGGTGGTTTCCTCAAATGCTTTACGTTGGCTTTAGCAGCTGATATTGTGCTCTTGACACTTTTTGTCTAAGGACACAGTATTTAATATGATCATTTTGCAGAAGGAAGCTGCACTCAATCCTTGATATTTGGCAGCTGTGACACAGGTCATGACAGGTACTGAGGCCCATCTTTCAGGCTGGCTGAGCCATGAGCAAGGTGAGTGGAGAAGGGTGGGGGTGTTAGTGTCCAAGCTGGGAGGCAGGCTTAGAGCTTCTTCCCTCCCTGCTTCTATGAAGTGAAAAGCCCCAATCCTATAAGTGAGTGTTCCCAAACTTCAGGACCCTGTGAGCTCTGTTGGCATTTCTCCCAGGTTCCCAAAAGGATAATTAAAAGACCATCCTTGAGCCAGTGGGCTGCACAAACACCTCTTTCCTCCCCCCATCTGCATCTAGGTTTGAGGCAAGAATCCTCAAAGCTGTAAGAGGTGCCTCACACTTGCAACACTATCCCAGCCTGCACAAATTAAATGGGCAAGGTCAACAGGGATGGATGGATGGATGGATGGATGGATGGATGGATGGATGGATGGATGGATGGATGGATGGATGGATGGATCCCAAACTCCAAAAGGAACCATGGACTTGTCTCCAGGGAGGAACTGGTGGTTTTCTGAACTCCATGAAATGCTTTTCATTTGAAATTAAGATGATGGGGGGGAAGAAATTAAGATGATGGGGGGGAAGGGGTTTGGGATGGGGGGGAAGGGTGCAGGAGGAAAGAAATTAGGAAGGAAATAATGTATTTCCAAGAAAATGCTGGGGGTTGGGGAGGTTCTCGCCTGTCTGCTAGTCCTGTCCTGAGCTGAGTCTAGACTGGCTGCCTGTCTCTGCCCACAGCTGCCTCCTGGGAGAGTGGAAAAATACCAGGCAAATGCCCCTCCTGCTACTTTGCACACACTATAGAAATGTGCCATTAGGAAATGAGCCTGCAAACTTCATCTGACACTAAATCATTCCCTGTTTGACTCCAGACTTCCCAGCTGAGCCCTTGTGCACTGAACAGAAAGAACAGAGTATTACAAACATGAACTCCAACAAGCCTAAGGGTTGGATCACTTCGATGCTGCAGTTAATTTTCACCTTCTTGAGGTGGGGCAGCTCATAATGGGAGAGCAGAGGAGACTGAAACAAAAGCCAAGGAGCTATCCAAGTTGGTGTGACAAAAAAAAAAAAAAAAGCCTTGAATCTATCTTTGTTCACCTAGGAGATGCCAGTAGAGACACCTGGTGATACTTAGCTCTCCTGCTAATGGATCACTAAGTGCATGTGAGTGAAACACCAGAAAACAAATGTTTTAGATATACATCACATAGACTGCATGGACTTTGTTCTGTCTTTCTGAGCTGGATAAATATTACCCAAGGTGTAGTCTTTTTCATGCCTCATTTGAACTAATTAAGCCTAATGAGCATCACATATTGAGAGCCCAATTTTTAACAGGAGTGACATAGAAGGTCTCAAATTTATGGCCTTAAGACAATTTTAAACTGGAAAATGGAATCCTACAATCCTAGATTTTGATGTGAGCATCTGCAGGCAAGATCTAGATGGCCTGTTAAAACATCTATGTCTGAAAAACAGCCCAGTGTGAAGACACCTTCAGGCAGATAGCTGATCTACATTTATCTGCTACTGTAGCCTGCACCACTTGCCATTCACACCTTTGAAAAACTTTGCAAAAACTAGCTAATTAATCCCTATTGCATCTTTAACCTATACACAAGATTCCTGCTGGTTTTGAGAGCTTCATTAATGTATCACCAAGTGATCCAGTGCAGAATGTACAACAGCTCTAGTCACACCTTAAAAAGGGCTGAGTGACTTGTCTGGCTTCCATGGGGGCAGCAGGCTGAAAATCCTACCTGCTCTAGGTTACAGAGCCACTGGCTGTCAGCAGGTCAGCATCCCTGACCTTGCAGGCTGCTGATGACTCCCCAGCCCTCACTTCTAGCTGAGATGAGCTGCGATGAACTGAACATGGCTGCATGAACAGAGCCTCTGGCTTCTAATCACCAAAAGTGAGACTCACCCAGATTCACCAAGCAGATGTTCTTAGTACTGCAAGACTCCGGTTAATAAGCAAGAGCAGGGATGTTACTACTAGTCTTACCAGCCCTGATGACATTAAGTACTTACAAAATCAGCATTCATTTTTGTGGCTTGCAAAGTCCACCTGGATCCCTAAAGAGAAAACAGACAGCAGTGAAGCATTCAACATGTTCTGTGGGGCTAGAAAACATGGGGACAGAGAAGATGACAGCGATGGAGGTTTTATTTCCCATCTATTCCTTCCCCCACCTGTAACACCTGTCATTAGGCAGGGCACATTCTCCCCTCTCATTCTCCTGTGCCAGACACTTGGCAGGACTCTGAGGGGCTGACCAGCAGTGATGGTGGAAGGCCCTGGACACTTGGCAGGAGTGTGGCCCACTGTGTCCCCAGGATGCTTTCACGTTACCCCAAAAGGACAGAGGTGCCAGCCAAGGCTGGCAGGCAGAGCTGTACCCACGGTACTGTACCTGCTGATCAAACAGGGCCCAGAACATTGGCAGTGGTATGAAGAGGAAGAGAACACGAGTCACCATTTTAACCTCCCCGATCAGCTGTTTCTAAAAGGGAACAAGCAAAAAGGTAAGGTAGGGGTATAAAGCCAACAGGTGATCCAAGCCACAAAGCATAACTCCTATTTATTTCTGCATGGCAGTTCTTCATTGCACTTCCTTGTGACATTGGATACGTTTGCATTTTTACATTTCAGTGCAGCACCTAAACTGTCCATTAAGGGTCAGGAGAGTACAGAAGTGGGAAGGGACAGGAAAATGCATGTGAGGAATGGTGTGGCCAGGCTAGTCTTACTGTCTCCCCTGTCTGTCTGCCAGAGTCTCCCTTCCCACTCCAAACCTACCAAGCAGAGCATCACTTACTGAGTATTTTTCTGAAGCCCAGTCCAGCCAGTGATCTCTCTTTGGAATCTCAGGGGAGCGGTTTTTCAGCCGGTTTTTAATAGCAAACTAGACAGAAAAACAGGAGAGTAACTCACTAATGCTGTACCTGCCCTCGTCACATTCCCAACTCAAGGCTACCTTCCCTATTTCCTATAAGTAGTGCCAGAACATTGAGGGGGGTGGGTTTCTGGATACCTCTAAAATCTCAGATTGGAGGCTTTATGATGAATTGTCTGCAGGGAAGTTTCTATGACACCGGGTGATTAAAGGTATGATGGGGGAATGAATCATAGAATCACTGAATCTTAGAATAGCCTGAGCTGGAAGGGACCCACAAAGGTCATTGAAGTCCAGCTCCTGCACTGTTTATGCTGTGTGCTCCAGTCACTGAACACACTGAGCCACACTGGCAAAAAAGTGACAGACTTCACTTAGAAGTCCCGTCTTTAAGATCCCGCCTGTTTCCCCAAGGTAAATTTGGCAGGGACCCACAAAGGTCATTGAAGTCCAGCTCCTGGACTGTTTATGCTGTGTGCTCCAGTCACCAAACACACTGAGCCACACTGGCAAAAAAAGTGGCAGACTTCACTTAGAAGTCTTGTCTTTAAGATACCGCCTGTTTCCCCAAGGTAAATTTGGCTCTAGGATTGACCTAGATAAAGAGAAAACATCTGCTGTTAGCAACAGCTTCCTGAAATAGAAACATCATTATCCACCTAAAAATAAGAGAGTATTTTTCACATACTGTATTCAGCTCACACACCATGAAAAACAATTTATAAGACTCTAATGCAACTTCAGCAAGTGTCTCTTGCATTTACATGAACATGCTGAATGTCCATAATGTGAATGTGTGCTATTACTGTCTGCTGAACTGATAAAGTTCAGAAAAATTATTCAACTGAAAAAAAAATGGAGTCATATATCTGATACTCTCTGAGTTTCTGAATTTTCCTTTCAGTTCAGTTTCCACCAGCATCTGCCACATGTGGTTCTACTACATGGACATCAACTGAACAGTTCATGGAGCTAAGGGAAAACAACTGAAATGCTGAAGAAATAAACTAGGACCTAAATGTGTTTCTAATTCCTTACAGCTCATCAGAAAGACATCCCAGAGCAGTGTAGAGGACTACAAAAGCCACCTCCCGTTTCCCTTTGCACCTTTTTGGACTGCAACTGCTGACTCATGCATGAAAAAGAAAATCACACACACTTACACCGATGCATTTGCACACTTCCAGCAAGACATTTCCTTGTGGTGGTGTTTTTCTGTACAGTCCACTTCCAGCAATGAACACAACTGAAAAAAATATTATTATCCAAATGGGGATTCACATGGCTGAAGCGCAATCCTGCACTGGCTTCTGGGAAGGATCTCCCACCCCTGTATTCAACAGAAATGCTCTGCCCTTGGGGCACACAGGATCGCCCTTCTAACTAAACAAATATAAAGGAATTCTTTAATGCCTGCAGATGGAAGAAAATGCAACATCCTACAAGAGGCAGTGTGATCCCTAGAAAGTCACCACAGTCCTAATATCTGCTCTGGCATTTCCACATCTGATTCACTCTGGGAACCAAAACTTTGAAAATTCACTTTGTCTATGCTTTTTGTAGCCTAAACTTATAGTACAATCCACATTGAATTCCAACCTGATGTTGGAAATCAACCCTCACCCATGGGAAATCTGTGAGGATTAATCCAGATACAGCACAGCCTCTGTGCACTTGCATCTCACACACATTTCAATGGAAACTGCCCAAAGATCCCTGCCTCACACAGAGATGTTAACAGAAATTACCTCCATTTATGGTTTACACAAAGGGATATACAATTTAAGATACTGTTTTATCTTGGTTTTCCCCCCCAAAACACAAAGAATGAGACTTCAAAATCCTGTCAGAGATGGAGTTACCTGATTGTGTATCATTTATCCTGCTCTATGAGAGTCTTTGAGGACACCGGAATTCCAAAGAGATTAGTAGGGAGAAGCACCTTAAAACTAAGCATGAAATCCATATCGTAAATTAACCTGAACTTTTAAAATTAACCAATTGTCTGGGTCAGTCCACAGACAGTGGAGAATAGCAGGTACTTCCATCCTAACACAGGAGGCCTGAGACACTGCAGGGAACTCACCTTTGCTTTCATCTGACTAAGACCTTTAGTATCCAGGTTTGACTTGCAGAACTTGAGAGACCTCTGAAGTCAGTTTAGGTGAGTAGCCCAAACCTTTGCATTTGTGCAAATTCACCCAGAGTGGGTAGCCATGCTACCCAATTTTTAGCATCTCCCTGTGAAGATGTTGGTGTTTTTAAAAACATGATCCATTAGGTTTGCTGAAATATGTTTTGATGATGCCATTGACTCCTCTGGGAGCTGAAGTTCCTGCATTAGGTTTAGAATTTGGAATTAAATGGTATCAATCTACCCCATCCTCCAGGAACTCTAGCAGCCTAGAAAATCTCACTCCAAATCTGCTTCTAAATCTATCCTTGCTTTCCAGCAACATAGGGAGAGGGCCAGCCAGGGCCAAAAGGGTGTTTTCTCCAGTTCTGCATGCTACTCACATAGTCAAAGATATCACTTCCCACAGCATATTACCATGTTACAAAAGAACAGAGAGCTGCTTTGCCAGGCAAGATGTGGAATCTGGCAGCAGGACACTAGCTAAAAACACTGATGCCCTCACTGAAACTGCAATATTTACACGTTCATTTTCCCCTGGGCAACTACTGCTCTATTAGAAACATTCATCACAGCATGGTGCACACAGGGTGGCCCTAAACTGATAGGAATAGGCCACAGGGGAAAACAGAACCTTCTCAGGCCGTGACCATGCACTTTTTTGAAATAATTGCTGCAACCTTGGCTGTGGCCTGATGACATTTCTTCAGTTTCCTGATTCTTCTCCTTGATGGAAATTTGAGTGGAGACAGCAACATTCACATTCTCTGGGGGACTTTTCAAAATCCCAGATGCTGCAGTGAAATCACACAACTGCTTGGTCTCTCAGTGAAGGTAACAAGCTGAATGAGATGTCACCCCATGCTGTGTCAAAAGCTCACACATGCAGTATAATAAAGAACTTCTCAGCAGCTTGCAGCTGTAAAACTAAAGCTGATGGGGTGTCCTCTGTACTGGCTACCAAGGAGTAACAGTGAAAATGGAGAGATTGTTGAATGTTTCATAAAGGTTGAAGAAGAAATCTTGACAAGTACATTAATAGGGCTAAGATGCAAGCATTAAGAAGCACAGGGACTGTGGCTGTCTCCTGACACTTGGATAATAAGGATTTTTTATTACAACATAATAATAAGCTGTCACTGCAATTGTGGGAATTACTTCAGCCAAGAAAAGTAAGACAGCTCAGAACAAACCAACATCTCATCTAGCTCCTTCTGCAGCACACAGATTCAGCAGCAGAAGTCTCAGCCATTGAAGATGGCCCTGAGCTGCAGGAAGCCCATGGAAAGGTTAGAAGTGCCATGTTAAGCTTCTCTTCTATAAGCTGGGGATCTCTAAGGGCTGCTCAGATTGCAGTTCAAAGGCCATGCCTGCTCATAGGCAAAGCTGCAAGCCATCAGGAGAATCATTTTGGTGCCTTCCTTTACATGAGAGCAAATAAATTATAGTGTGAAGCATGCATGAGACCATCCCCTTAAGAGTATCACTATAAAAGATTGCAGTAAAACCATGCTCAGCCCACTGTCAATCAACTATTTACTGCTATTTACTATTTACTGATATTTACTGCTGTTCTGAACTGGGGAATTGTTTGGTGACTCTGAACCCTTTCATTTCCCATCACAGTATCCATCCAGAATTAGTGAATTTGTGCATTTTCTCATCTATCCATGGACTCAAAACTGGTAACTCCTATTACCACTATTTCCACTCACCAAGTGCCAACACCATCAGTGCTGCTGGGACACCAAAAGCCAGTGCATAACAATCCTCTCCGAAACATTTCACATCCCCTGAAAAAAAAGTCAGAAATAAAAGCAGCTCATTACATCTAGACTTATGTTACTGGGGCTTTTGATTTGATTCCCTAAATTAGTCACTTCCCCTGGTTTTAAATCTTCTTTGCTACTGCTTGACACTGTGAATTGAATCTCCTTGAAACAGTTGTCCTCCCTTGATGAAGACAATTTGGAAGCAGGGTTAGTGTCTGCCAGCAAAAGCAACTGATAATAGGATATTGATGCAAACAGTAGAAGGGAGGGGGCAGACAAATCGGTATAAAGAAGTACTAGGAACTGTAATTGGGAAAAAAGAAGCACAACATTTAAAATAACCTGAAGCCATTCTATATTTGACTAGGTCTAAATAACCAGTACTGTGCTGCATCAGTCTTGAGTGAAAAACCTGAAATGTTTTCACAGCGACCTACGGTGGACAAAGTGAAAGCTAATGCCTGTGCTGTGTAAGTGGGAGCCCAGGATAAGCCCTAGAACTCCAGTTCCCTTTCCCACCACCACCAATCTCACTAGGGGCAGCCTGCTTCAAATGTCAGGTTTTGCATCGACCCATTAGGAAACCAGATGTGTTATAGCATGGGCTGCATCAATCTGAGCTCTGGGTCACTGAAAGCTGCACCTCCTGGACCAGGTCAGTTCTTGCACCATGCTCTGGCTGCAAACAGCAAACCAGCAGTGGGCTCTGTGTTTGAATGCCAGGGGCTAGACATTACTGCATTCTTACTTGGAGAATGACAAAATGGCTAAGTAAGCCAACAGAGTTAACAGGAGACCAATCCATTAAGCCCTCAGCTGCTCCTGTTTGTTGTAGCTGGAAAATCACAGCTGCACAGCTGTGTGCATGCATAGCATTTATTTACTTATTTTCAGCAAATTATCTAAAATCCAACAAAGCAGAGAGCATGGGCTCTCGGGGCACACTGAACTTTTACCACGCTAAATGAGTTGGACTTCTCTGCCTAGAAGTATATATTTTGTATTTGTACCAAATGTCTACAAACTGCATTTCCTGCTCTTCCAAAAAAAGATTTTACACTTAGCAAAAATATTACACTTTCCCCATCCTCTCCAGTTCCATGGTGCAGCTAGTTTATACTGGCACATGTTTTGATGCTTCAAGGCACTGGATTTTCATCTGCCCATTGGCTACATTAAGCAAAAGCCCTTCCCAACTGAATGCTGACCTGAAGACACCAGAGAATGAACGAGTAAGAGGTACAGCATTTGTCTCTGTTCCTGTGCATGGTGTAAACATGAGACAAGAGCCTGTTAAAATGACACTCCAAACAAACAGAGCCTTCTGGAAGCCATGGAATGGAATGAAAAAAAAGGCAACTAAATGTGAAGACTACCTTGTCCCTGTCCCCATCACCTATGGCCTGCTGCTCTGCCTCTGTACCCGTATTTAGAGTGTGCCAGTCCCTTTGGCTTCAAAACGCTGCAATACAATGAAGTAAGTGCAGCAAGGCTCAGGGACTAAAAAGGGTTTTGCAAGCAGGCTGGAATATAAAGTAGGTCTTAAATGGGGCATAGGCCTGTGCTTTGTCTTCAAGGCTAGTTGCTCAGGGCAGCAATCTTGCAAGCAGATCCACGCAGACAAGCCTGAGTGCCAGGAGAGAGCCCTCCAGAAGTCAGCAGCACCCCATGGGAGGGAGAAGGTAGGACTTTAAAACCAGCCCTGCTAAGTTTTTCAGCCCTGATACTACACAGGACAGCAGAGCTCATTTCCCATCCACAGTTTACCTGAAGCCAAGTCCTTCACTGGCAGTGGGGAATAGATGACCATATAGGTCCTTCCACCTTTCACGTTTTAATTCTGTAGTTTGGACTGGCTTTGAAATACAACCAGGAATATAATGTCTGTGAATTGTCTGCCTGTATCATAAATCTGTTATGCTGCTACTGCAGGATTAACAAGGTGTAAATGCAATATACTGACCACTCCACAGATAATATAATTTCTGTCATTCTGTTGTCATAAGAATCTAACTACTATGCACAGCAGAGTAGTTAGAGGGCAGCTAATTTATTGTTTTATTCTAAATCCACACTGACCTCTTAATACAGGAGTTACAAACGTGGAGATCAAACTTCCAGCATTAATGGATAAATAGAAGATGGAAAAAAACTTGCTTCTCTCTGAGGTCTAAAACAAGAGAAGACAATGTCAATGTCATGGCTAATACACAGCATTGGGCTTGCAAATTGAACACTATCAATTCTCTCGTTAGGAAGGCTGGGTAAATATTGACACAAAGTGCATAAAATGTTAAGCAAACAAGCTCGTGTTCAGGTGATGGTAAATGCTCACACAAATCAGCTCACGTTACTCGAGAAGTGCTTTGGGGCTTTTTGGCATTTCAGAGCAAAAACTGCTGCTTTGAGAGTGCTGTGAGACTGGAAGGAGGGGAAAGCATTTACTTATTCAGAACAAGTAGCATGATTCAGATCCTTTGTCACCTAATTCAATCCAATTTGGCACGGTTTGACAAGCTCATAATTTTTTTCCATGTCTGAGTTCTTTTTTTTTTCCCTCCTCTCCTGCATAGAAATAGAAAAAGAAACCTGTGTATTTTAAGGAACTGGTAATCACAGCATAGATGAAAGAGTGCCAGCAATTGAGAAGTATCCATCAAAAAGGAGACCATTAAGGTGAGCCCAATCAACCCCAAAATAATAGGGTAAATTAAATCTAGGGGAGCAAACTCAAAAGCCTGATGGAGGGATGAACTCTAAAAGAAAGAGTTTTGAATTTAACCTAAGCTGTAACATATTGTAGTTTATAGAGTCAAAGGATTCCTGCTGATGTTCTTCCTCTCTGCATATTTCATAATTTGGAAGGAATCAAGAATTTGATGCAGAGTTTGGTCCTTTGTGCAGGAGTAATGTGTGTGTTTGCAGTCTCTCCTTGCTTGTGGGAGGGACACACATGCACAGTCACACGTGCACTGTATACAGTGATAACCTCCTCCCTGTGCCTGGGTGGGCCAGCAGAGAGGAGAAACAAAAGCAGGTTACCTGACCCACCCCGTGCTCCTGTGTATCAGCAGCTCTGGGACACCTGAGCTGATAAAGGCAGAGGGGGAAATTGCATCAGGCATTGCATGGCGCCTGACAGAGCTTCTTAGGGTACTTTGAGCCTCATCTCCATGACCTGAGCATCATTTGAATGCAAAGCTTTAACTTAGCTGAGTTCTAGAAAACTCCTCAGGGAATGTTGTTCTGTCTCCTTTCCTTCTAATGTGTCCTGCTTCTGTCTGCTCCCTGAGACAACAATATTCACTAGGCTAGAAAACTGGAGAAAGCGTGAAGAATTGCAGGCAGCTAAAGGAGGACAGGTGTAAAGTAATGAATCCTGAGCTCCAAAAATGTAGCAAAACTTCCTGTAACTAATGGTGCAGCCAGCAGGAAATATTGCTTCTTCGTATGGCAAGAAGACTCTTATCACAGGGGATTACTGCAGGGAAGAGGAGGAGGTGGCAGAGTATGTGAGGGCTTCTCTTTATGTCCTCTTGTAAAGTGGGGACTGAGAATGTCAGGGTGAGAGCCCCATCACCTCCCACTGCCACGCACCAAGGAGTCTGGGGGTCTCCTTACTTGGATAAGGGCTTTCTGCCTTGACACAGCACAGTTAGGAAGACCCCATCAACTGAGCTTTTGGATTTTGCACAATTGTATTTCCTAGTGTTCAAGGCTGACCCATACATTCCTCTTAAATTATGTATCCTAGGCTAAAGGATTTGAAAGCCTTATAAAAATCATCTCAATGGCATCTTCTCATGGTTAATAGAAAACAGCAGTAGGTCTTACTACCTGTTATATTCCTTTCCTTGCTGGTGGTTTTGATAACCCAGAACTTTGTACTGTTAAACTAGTAAAATTATATTCTCTTTTTCATTCTACCTTTGTGACTAATTATTTGTCATCAAAGAGAAAACTAGAGAAATGAGCAGCATCAGCACTCTTCCCCACTCCTGGATAGACCTCCTATGACTTGTCAAGGTGGTGCAGTAGAACCCTCCTCTTCTAGCCAAATTGTCATGGCATGTCTCTAACCCTTCATATCTGAGGAATCAGAGTTTCTGAGAGCTGTGATAAACTCAAGCATGCAGCTCTTGACATGATAAAGTCTAGAGCAACAATTACCAAAAAGAATGTGGTAGTAAGAGAAGAGGATAGTGATGCATAAAGAATTTGGAGCATCTTATTTCACACATTTTCAGATTTTAGTTATGGAAATAAAAATGGTCACAGAAAAGCTGAAATAGTTACAAAAATAATGACCTAGCAGCTTGCAAATTATACTGATTGGAATAAAGAATTTCCTCCCTATTGTCTTAATCTTTAGAGCAGACATACATTAACAACATGATTTGGATTAACTAATTTGAGAAAAGGTTCTGTACTTGATAATCCTGATCTCCTTGGCAACCAGAAAATAAAGAAACAAAGGAAAGCTATTTAGCACCTTAAACACCATCCTGCACTGTTTGAAAGCAGCTTTGGTCCCTAATTAATATGTTCAGCAGCTTCATATTCATATAACATATTGTAAATATAATTTTGTTCAGGCATTTTTAACTTTGACTTCTAATCCCATAGACAAAGGCATTTGGAAATCTCCTGCAGATAAATCTGTTTTCCCTATCTGACCTCCCACCAAATCAGTCCCCATCATGTCTGCAGTAGTACTGTTCTCAAAGTGGCAGATCCAAGACTAATATGCTCCTGAAGTACTTAAAAGATAATCAGATTGATGTTGTGCATTTACCTCAAAACATAAACTTATCTCTAGGAATAGCAGGGGTAATTTAGTTATTTATACACAGAACTACTTCATCCCAAGTTTTCAGACAAAACAAATAAGCCTGTGCACTTAAGGACTCAGATGAAGTTTATTGGTGTCCTGAAAATTAAGGGGGAATCAAATGCTTCATTTCATAGTGAATTTTTAAAACTTATTTCAGCCTACCTGGAGTGGAAGAAAATAAAACATAAGACCCCTCAAACACCACTCCAGAGGAAAGAAATATTCTGTTTGGCCTCAAACCTTTCATTCCTTACAAAATCAAAACTTCTCATTCCAATTCTGATGACTTAAACTTCCTATCACATAGCATAAAATATTTGTTTCTTCTGAAAGGCCAAGTCATTTCAAAATGGTAAAATAGAAAACTTTCTATTTTGAAAAGAATGTTTGGAAAAGAGCAAATAGAGCAGAACACATTGTTCTTATCAGAATGCTTTTTACAGTTTTCTTTCTCTAAATTAGTTTTTCTTGAAGGTAGCACACAGGTGAGTGTTTGAGCCTTTGTATTTGATAAATTTGTTGGAGAGATGTAGTCTAAATGCTGGAGAATGGGTACAGGCCCACACAACCACAGGCAGTTCAGGTTTTCTCTCTGTGATGCAGCTGTAGTTGTAAAGTTGAAATGATAATAGGTATGTGCCTGAGAGGGGTGCTGAGATTCATTAGCTGAAGTCTATAAAACACTCAGAAGATAAGTGTTACATATTATACTGTAATTAGGTGGCAATTGAAAGATGCTGGATAAACACGATTAATCATTAATATTCATCAAAGTAGCACTTGTATAAATGCTGCTGTTGGACCTATTAGAATTCTGTTGGGACAACTATTGGTGCAGCAAGCCAGGATGCCCATGTATACATGCAGTTATCCCAAAGCACATGTGCTGTGCTGCCAGCCTGCTTTTGGTCAGAGTAGTGCCAGGTGGGGAGGCTGGTGACCACCAGAGCATTGCTGATTCCCTTTCTGCCACATCCCCTAAAGCACCATGTGCTACTGACAGCGTGCAGACATGCCTGCAGGAGGATGTGCTTTGGACAAGTGACCACAGAACATCCCATGTTTTGTTACTTCTTACTAATCATAAGCTTCATAACTTCAGCATCACTCAGTTCATGTGCAAAAAGCACAACTCTTCCCAAAAAATTTTTATTTAGTCTCTATTATTTCATTACATGTTGACTTCATACTGGGGTACTGGAAAAGACAAGGAGAACCCTGCCCTACTGGACTCCTTGTCCAAGGGGCCAACTTTTATCCAAATTTACCAGTGCTTTTCCTGACACACTATTAGTCTAATGTCCTTCTTTAATGCCTCCACTGATGGGAATTTCCCTTTCCCAAAGGCCCTAGTATTTCCCTAGATCTATTTCTAGAAAAATTTTTCATACACTCAGTTCTAAATACTCCTCCTTGAGTTTAAGCCTACTCACCACAGACCCCAACACTTATTTTCTTTTTTGTAGCAGCGGCCTTCTACACATTTGAGGACTTATGCACACAATTTGGTGATTTGAATACTTTTCATTGAGAAAATAGAAATTTCTATTTGTGTGTTAGGTCAACATAAATCTATTTAAATTCAAGTCAATTGAAAAATTTAGCATTTTGCCTGAGGATTAGCACTTCCTGACCTGCTTTGCTTCCTTAAGCACTACCTTATCCCTGGTTTAGCCCTGTTCTGAATAATGGGAGTTTGAGATTAGTGCAGATGAGGGGCTAAGCACTCATGACAGAGAATGAGGACACAAAGCACCTGGACTACAATTCTCAGGATAGACAGCACAAACACAGCTAAACAGAAACATTTTCTCCACTCTTCAGAACTTTCCATTCTGGAATGTTCAGAAAACATTCTGGTATTACTTGCAAAAGACTAGAATTTCCTACAGTTCTTTTTGAACAACATCTGAGACACAGACTATGACTGATTTGAGGAAAAAATCCCACAGAAGCATAGGCTGGTGATAGTCTTTTCTTTCATTTGCCATATTCCTCTGCAGTGCATTATAATCACCCCTGTTAGGCTGATCTGTGATATATACAGTTCTGTGATATGCAAGACAGGATTTTTTTACTACTCTGATGTCCAATTAACATTTAGATGATTTGATGCAATTATGACCTATTCTTTCCAGTATCAATCCTGTTCTGCTGACATTTTGCCTTCCTGAAGCATCCAGATTCTCTCAAGTCTTATGCAAACCACCCTACCTCATGTCTTACTATGTCTTTTCCAGCAAACTGGCCCTTATTCTAGCACAACAGGATTTTCATCACATAAACATCCTCACAAAGTAAGCAGACACTGCAGAATTTAGGAAAGAAAAGAAGTCTTACATGTTCCTCTTCAAACTGGTCCCCACCAAATGCAGAGACACAGGGCTTGATACCTCCCGTTCCAAGGGCGATCAAAAACAGACCAACCATAGACAGGACCCTTCATGCAAGAACAAAAATATCACCATTGCAAAACCTTTCCAGAGCTTATGAGAGTATTTTAGTGTCACCCAACCCTGATTCCTCTGATAATGTTGTCTTTTGCACACAGTAATGATGATGAGCTAGATAAACAAACAAATTAAATATCCTAATAATTTGAAAAACAAATTAATTATCCTAATTTCTGCATTCCGTACCAATCAATTAACCAAACTGGTTTTGTCAGTTTCTTGTTATTCTGAGGTCCAATGGACATATAGGAGATCAAAGATCTGTGGAATTATTTTTACTTATATGACAACAAAAGCTGTCAGAGATCAACTGAGAAAAAGAAAAAAAAATAAAAAGGGGAGTACTTTTTGTAGCCTGGGTAAGAGCAGACAAACTATTTGAATGAGGCTCATTCTTGTGTGCTTTCTATTTCCCAGTGGTTTTCAAAATGCCATTGTTGGCCTGACAGATTATGTCTCCAGGGAACAAGAGTATCAGGACTGACCAGGTCTGGGACAAAAGAAAATTGTTCTGTAAACAACATGTCCTTCTGCCTGCATGTGCATAGTTTTTGAGCCATGACTACACAGACAAAACTGGCTTGGTGGTTTCAGAGACACCACTCTGACAAGCCTATCAGTTCAGAATCTAGAGGGTTGTATCCTGTGGAAGAGACAGACCCTTCCCCTCTCATCAGAAAATGTATTTCAGTTTTGTGTTCCCATGCACACAGGGGAATCTTGCTGAGCTGGGCAGCTGTGCTGATGAAATGAGCAGGCTCCAGCAAGGAGCCTGCTGTAGGCAGCTAGATACAGGAGACCAAACCAGTAGCATGGTAGAGCAGAGAGGGGTGATCCTCAGTGCCTGTGCCAAAGAGGTTAGAGTCTGTGTGGTGATTTCCAGCTCCATCTGCCATGCTCACACACTAGATCCACCCTTCTGCTCTTCCTCAGACATTCCTAACCCTTCCCTGATGAAAGTAATCCATGCACAGCCCCCAAAATGCTGGTCTGATGGAGATAAAACAAATTACAGACTTGGGTAAACTAATTACCATCACAACCTGCTACAGCACTGTGGCTTCAAGGGCTACTTACACATGAACTGCCTGGTTGCCCAGGGATGGAATGGCACCGACTGACTTTATCAGATGGCCAACAACATACACAATGGAGAGGTAGATGATCGTCCTGTGAGGAAAGCAAACAGCAGTGACTGAAGGTGCTGGGTGATGTACAAGCTGAAAACAGAGGGTGCCCGTGGGCCCTGATATGGCAGCTCTACTTGGCTGGCACACAAGGAACTGGTTTGTTCTACCAGTGGTACAGTGGGCAGCTGTAATTCCTTTGTGTCAACACTGAGTGGACTAGAAGGAATAGATATGCAAATGGATTCAGATTAAGGAGGGATAGCCCCTGCTTTATTTGTAGACATTACTGAGCAGAATAAATGAAAAGTGTTCCAGTCTTGTCACGCATGGAAGACGGCAAAGAGAAGAGCACTGTTTAGGCCCAACTCAGTTTTCAGATTACTAATAAATGGCATTTTGTAGGATGTGCATAAGTGAATCCCTTGACTGGAAGGGATGTTGAGAGACTGTTGCCCACATTCAACCCACCTAACAAACCTGAATTAGGAGCATGGTTTCCTCACTGTAAGTCTGTTTTGGGTCCCAAGTATCTCTGTAAGACTGAGCTCATCTATCTGCCTCCTATGCATTGGTGAGGGAGAAGAAGAAATACGAGCAGGATGATCAGACTCTTGAGTGTATTCTATTCCTTCACCACTCTCTAGATTAAGAGAAATCTATGTATTCTTGTGCTGAAGACACATACAGAAGTGAATCAAAGGACTTGTAAAGACAGAAACACTAGAAGAAGTCCTATGAGCTTTGAGCATGGAAGAGGTCCCTGATGCATTCAAACCCTGGCTGCAACAGCTAATTTAGCACCACATCAGATCATTCCTAAAAGCTCCTCTAATCTGTTATATTGGCCAAGGTCCAGCTTCTACAGTAAAAGCCACTTCCCATTAAATTATAGGGATTACTCCAAGGAAAGTGTTTTGACTAACACACGAGCATCTGTATAAGGATTTACCTTCTCACAACATCATGCTGCAATATAAACATTCTCAAAACTAATGAACATTGCTATGTGACCTTAAATAATAAATTTAATAAAGCCCCACTGTTTTTATTTTCATTCAAATTGACAAGAAAATTACTAAAACTGAGCACAGAGGAAAAAAAAAGGACACTGACACCTCCTTAAGAACTTTCTTCTGGATAGGCATATGGCAGCTGTTTATTTCCTATAGAGACACTTCTGCCAGATAGGCTTAGTCTTAGAAAGAAAAGTTCAGCTGCACTTCATCACCCTGACAGCCAAGACTTCTCAGACAATGAAAAAAACAGTGCCAAGCAAAGAAAGTCCTATATCCAGCTCATCACCACTCTGGAGCAGATGTTTGCTCCACAGCTTATCATCAGAAGGGAAGACTGCCTAAGGACTCTTACTCAGGAAGAGTCTACCTGGTTATGTGCTGATGGAGATTGAGAGAACACAGGTTTCTCAGGCATAAAAGTGGGTGTGTTGATACATTACCTATGCTGTGAGAAGCGTAAGTAAGCACATTACAGTTAGTGACATTTTATCTGAATCTGAGATCTACATGATGACATTGCTTCCTCACTATCTTTGAATCCTTCTCAGAAGCAGACCTTAGCAAACTGAAGGTTAATTGCCCTACACCTCAGCTTCCTGCAGTCAGGTAGGGTAAGACAGTGGAGGAAAAGGGCTATTGTAACATTTAATTTGTCCCAACTTCGTTGCCTATTGGCCTTTGGGTATTAGACAAGCAGAGAACAGCATGAGCAAACAGATCAGCTCTGTTAAAAGAGAGGAGCTGACCTTCACAAGGGTGTCTTTGCTGCACTTTGAGCCAGCTCAAAACTGGGAGCACACACAGCACTGTCCTTGCACAGGCTGCACGGTGTCAATGCATGCTGGCTGAATTAGAGAGAGGTCTTCACTTACTTGTATTTGCCCAGCCACGAGTCTGCCATGATGGCTCCGATGACAGGTGTGAAATAACACAACGCGGAAAAGGCATGGTACACAGCAGTGGAGAGATTCTCATCCCAGTGGAAGAAGCTTAAGAAATAGAGTGTCAGAACAGCTAAAAGGAAACAAACAAACAAAAAAATCATATCAGATAATTAATGTGTATATCTGCAGGTAAGCAGGATCATGGTGGCAAGAAAACTACTGATTTGTCTGGCAACTGAGCAGTGCTGTGGAAAGATTTGTGCTTCCAGACCTGTTCCTCATAATCTCTGACACAGGAGAAGCTAAAATGAGATATATGAGTATCTGACATCCTTTGCTCATAAACATTTATGTTTAACTGAAAAATGTATTTTCTAGCTTATCTTACCCTAACCTGTAGTTCTGTTTATGCACTTTTTCTATTTGCAGATTAGGTGCCTGTAAGATTCAATTCCCAGGCACGCTGATTGCACATCAACTATGAAAGACATCACACAGTAGAAAACCAGGCTTTATATAGAGAATTGTATAATAATTTAGACTGGAAGGTACATTTGCAGCCCTCTAGTTCCAACTTCTTCTCATCTTAGATACAGCAACGATGTTAGGATACACTGTTCATATGTGCATTCCAAAATATCAATTAGCTTTGAAAGACAGCTGATACTACACCCAGCACAGCTCAGAAACATCAATCCAGTTTGTGTAAAGACCTCAGGACAGGAAAGTCACAGGCCACATACCTCGCATGCCATAGTAGGAGAAGCGCTCGCAGAACTCGTTCACCACAATGAAGGCAATGCTCAGGGGGTAGTTGGAGCCACAGAGTTTCTGTGGGAGACAAACAAGAACATATCAACTGCCAAAGCCTTCACCCCAGCAACATATTCCCACAGTGTCTGGGTGGTGGAGAGGAGTCCAGTCCAAAACCAAGTGCTCACAGCTGCTTGAGTGACCTGTGAGCTGGACTCAAAGGAGAGAGTGGACCCCACAGTACTCTTGCTTTGATTAAGGCTCCCCAGTGAATCAGCCTGGCTGACATCAGCCCAGGAAGGACTGCCATGGGGATTTGTGAGCTGTCAACAGCCCACCATGCCTGTAGCTCCAGGAACTCAATTGGAAGTTCTACCAACTCTTGACTGCAATGCTAAAAGTCACTGATACCAAAAAACCACCTTTGGATTCCTTTTGTTCTGCACTCCATATAAAGCCACTACCCTGTCCCAAAAACTGCTTCCTCTTTTAGTACCAGACCTTGCCTCAGAAACTGGGAGACCTCAGGGATCTGCTGTCTGCTTCTGCGTGTAAAGCTGCTATCTCCCTCAATCTCTGCTCCTCACTTGTGCTGAGCTGTGCCACCACTCACTGAAGCAGAGCATCAGCTCTCTGTCTGACACTCCCTCAGGCATGGCATCCATTTCATATTCCAAGATTGCTGGCACAGCTATGGATCATTCAATTTATTAATCAGAACTTTAAAAAAAGCCAGGGACGGGACTGTCAAACCTGTCAAAGTGCAGCCACTCTTTCTCTGAGCCTGACTTTCCTGCAGCTAACATCAGCACTTCCCAAGTGAAATACAAGGCATTAAACAGATGAATCTTGGCATGACCCTGTGTGGGCCTCTGTCCCTCTTGCTACCCCACAGTGGTCTGAGCTAAGCAGCTTTCAGATTCCAGCTGCTTAGTGGCTCCACTGCCTCGCAACAGGAAAGCAGGTTTGCACAGCACTGCCCAGCCTCTGCCAATTAGCAGGAGAGGGGCTGACCATGGATTTGGTGAGGAATCTGGAGGGAGTGTGATATTAACAGATACAACTATACTTCTAGATTAAAACAGCCATGGTATGGGCCAGTGAAGTGAGATGAACTCTTCATGTGCATTTCTGTGCCTCATGTCGGATATAATGAATTCCTGTATTTCCTCCCAGAGTCCCAAATGCAAATACAGTACCAAAATAGATGTGTTTATTCAGGTTTATTTTACCACCAAGAGACCTAAGCTTATTTAGATTCCCAAAGCAATGGCATCAAGTTTAGAAGAGTATAGCTTAATGACACTGTCTTCCTCAACATTATGAAAAAGCAACAGAAGAGACAGAAAATCAAAACTCCACAACTCCCACCTCCCCACTACTTTCCATTACTTAATCCTCTAAAGACAAATATTTTTGTCCATTTTTATATATATGTATATATTTTTCTCACCAAAAGGCTGCCTTTTTATAAGAAACCCTTAACCTTGTTTCTTTACTAGAGTAAATACATAATTATCCATTTCATTTATGATTTACTCTGAAACCACTGTGCTCAGCAATATGGCTTGTAAGAAAGAGTGGGCTCCCTTGGAAACTGCACTGGCCTCCTGCTTTTAGACTAGCCTAAAAATGATGACATATATAAGCTGTAAATGCACAAACACACAACCATATGCACACACAGAATATTTTTCTCCAACAAGATTTTCATAATAGAAGAAAATCCATAAGGGGCAGATTATGTTTCATGTTTGTGCTGGGAGGCATTTTATGAAATTGGAAGTAAAATTGTACAACAGGGATTTTTTTTTTCTCTCCTTCCCAGACCTTACTATACATACTCCTGCCATTTAGTAACATTTGGTGGAGGTGCAGAGAGTGACTGTCCTAACCAGGTGGACAGGTGGCAGGAGCGCTGCTGCCTGAACTCACCCCTCCACTCCCAGTGCACAAGTTCCAGTGGATTTATTTGCACCGATTTCAGGTGCAGTGACTCATTTCAGCCACTCCTGCTCTGGAATGGGCACCTCCTACAGATGAGCAAGGAGGGAAAGGAGAGCAGGGGGCAGTGACTTCCCAGCTACACCTTCCCAAGTGCCTGAGCCACGACCCTGAGTAGGTGCTTACAAACACAGAACAACGACTTACAAGCAGGGGTACTTCCATCTGGCTTGTGTGTCATGAGATGGCATCAGCACGTGCAGAAACCCTCATGTATTCTCTCCACTGTATCACTGACCTGCCTGTGGCCTGCCTGGACATCCAGAAGTGGGAAGCTTTCATCCATGTGGAGAGCCAGATGCAGTTTGCTCGCTTTCGCGGAGGAGGACCGTGCTCAGCAGACAGCCCCAGCAAAAGCAAAGAGGTTAAGCCTGGATTCATGAACACACAGATAGTCTGCAGTGCTTAGCTGCCACAGCAAGCCTGGGATCTCTTGTGGGATTGTGGATCTCTTAAAGATACTGTGGAAGTTGATAGACTGTGTCTTTGGAAAAAAGAAAGTTCGTTTAAACTACCCACTACAGGAGACGTTTGTTTTCAGCTCTCCTTCTTGCTGACTAGTGGCAAAACAGGATGAAGATTAATATTTCCCAGGAGCTCTGGATATCCAATAGTTAATGTCTGCACATTAATTAAACTTGAGTTAAATAGTTGGTTTGCTAATGACATGACTGTGAGTTTTAAGACCAAGTATTACATATTATCCTGCAAATCAAAGCAGCTGCAATATAAGCCAAATTCTTCCTGAATTCTATGCAGTGAACAGTTTTTAGGGGTCAAGCACTCAATAAAAATTAGCCTGAAAATCTGCACAAACATCCAAGCTGCAAGGCAGCAATATATTCACGTGAATCAGGCTTTAAATCAGATGCAAAGATGTAAACCCAAGGCTCTGGCACTACAACTGAGCTCTGTAACACTCACCAGTGGCCTGTCCTCAATCCTTGTCCTTCCTTCTGCTTTTCATCAGCTGGGTACCCTTCCCTGGTGGGTTTCATCAAACGAAACAGAGTTCAGCTCCCTCCCTCTTATGTACAACAGCCCCATCCACTTCAGAGATCTAAGTTTTTTCCCCACAAGGAAAAAACAGGGAAAAGGCAATAAATCCCTTACCCTTTTTCTCAAAAATTCAGACAGTTTGTGTTTTCCCTTTAAGCTGCACTTTCTTAACTTAATCAGGTTAGTGGAGGGATTTTTGCCTTGAGTTGTTAAGGCTTATTTCAACCCTCTGCAAGAAAGGGTGTTTGTCTCTAGCCAGAGCACAACAGAGGAGAGAACAGAGAGATCTTGCAATGTTTAAAACAAGCTGAGCAGAAAGCAAAGCAAAGGAAAGCAGCAGTAACACTTACCGGAGATTTTTTCTGAAGAGGGAAATCTCCTTTGGGGGGATCATCTCCTGCAGAAATAAAAGTGAACAAAGTTTCCTTGGATTCATTTCTCTGAAAAGCGTTCATCTCCCCTCTCGCCTTGTCTCCCACCATGCTATGTGGCTGTGGTGAGTTGACTGGGAAGATTTCCAACCTCAGGCACGAAGTTTGATTCAGTTTGAGTTAACCCTAATTGAGCACATTTGTGCAGCCAGGGTAGAAAGGGGAGGGAGATGCTACCAGGAAAGACAGCTCCAGAGTTCAAGAGGAGTCAGGGAACACAGCCTAAATCAGTCACAGGTTGGGGCTGTCAGCACTTTGTGGCACAGACCTCCCTGTTGTTTGGCATGCCCCCAGCTATTTTACGTGCACCAGCCCAGCACGGTGCTGGATGCTGCACAGATGTGAGCTGAATAAAAATCCCAGGTCCCAGATACACCTACTGCCTGTGGATTTAGGAGCAGAGCGTGCATCTCCCTCCCAGTGTGGTAATGACAGGTTTACTCTGCAGGGATCTCATTTCACTGGAAAGCCACACATTCTAAGAAAAAACTACTAAAATGTTCATCACACCAAACCCTTGGACACTGGATGTCACAGATGCCTGCACTGTGTTAAATCATTTCTTTGCTACTGAAGGAGTGAAGTGACCCAGGGTTCATTCCCACACCAATTCCCTAGAATGACCTTGCCTTTTCCCATGGGACAGTTTAATCAAGCAGGCACAGCCAGCACCCAGAAGCAGCCCCAGCCCCTCTCTCTATTTTCTATTATTCAGAAGACCACTTTGGGGCTCCACATGTGACAAATGAAGCCCATCTCTGCTGGGAGTCCCTGGATTCCCCCTGCAGCTACATGGGCTCAGCTCCCTGCAGGAACACTGTTGTTCCTGCTTCCATACCCTTCCCATGGCAATAGTGGAGCTCTGCATTCTTCCAGTGCCAGTTGCAATTGCAGAGCAAAATTCACAACCTTCCCGTAAACTATCCTCAGTGCAGTGCAGAGGTTTCTTCTTCCTCTTACACTTGGCTTCTTTAAAAGACAAATATTCAAAGAATTTTCCTAAATATTTCTCCCTTCTCTAATCAGTAATGCACAGACCACACCCAGAATCCACAGCTGGTACAAGGAGTCTCCATAAACTCATCCTTAGTGCAAGTACTCAGTTGCTGATAGTTTTTGGTTATCTTGAGAACCAGGTTTGCAGCTGATGAACCAGGATCCTTAATCTGGTTTCAGTTATTGTTAACAAGACATGGAGAATACTTATACAAGAGAAACAGATGTGATGGCCTGCACAGAGGAAGTATAATTACTATCCATCATGTACTCTGGCATTGCTTCCTCTGAAAATCCCCAGAGATCCCATTTCACTCCTACTAACTGGCCATATAAACATGGGGTCAGCTGGGCAGCTGACCTGGAGGCCAAACTTCAGAGGGTGCCAGAAAGTTCTACCCCATCTTTGTTCCTTTTCTCCTATACAGCAGTGGCAAAACAAGAGTTTGGTACCTCCTCTGTACTGCCACAAACGAGCTCCTTGTCTTCAGCCCTCCCAGTGACCTGCACACATGCACAGCCTTGCTTTTCACCTGGGCGCAGCCTCCAGGGAGCTCAGGTTTATCAAGCCCTTTTCATGGGCGTGAGTGCTCCAAAGCAGACCCAGTGCTGGGGGCAGAACAGGTCTTGTTCACATGGGTCCTGTCCCTGCACACCAGGTTGGCACCTACTCAAGTCCTGCAAGCCTGACCCCGTGCTAGAGGCAGCAGAAATATTTCTGAGCCCTCTGCTGGCATCTCATGCCCCAGGTATTTCTATACAGCTCCCAGTAGAAACCTGCTGTATTCTGCCATACACAGGCAAGCAAAGCAAACACAGCAGCAGAGTTCCTAAAGGAATAATAAAAAAGGAAGGCAGGAAAGGTTTCACCATCCCTTGCACAGTGCTCCCATGCTGCTGCAATGTGATGCCTCAACATTTTCAGCCTCCTGCAGCTATATTTCCTCTGTGTATATACAGCCCTGTGCGTCACATAAGCTAAATGATTTTTTTTTTAATGCCAGCATGAAAAACCCTATCAGTCAGTAGGATTAACATACTACTTGTCTAATACACTGCAGAGCTGTTTAGGCCACTAGCTGCCAGAAGGTCTTCTCAGACAGAAAAGAAAAAAAGGAACTCAAATGTTTGGTAATAAATGGTAACTTGTAGCAAACAGCAAAAACAAGTTTAAGAGAATAAATTTGCAAGTACCTCAGATACAAATACAGAATGATACTTGATAGAAGGAGACCTGTGCGACTGGACTGAAAATCAGGAAGGACTTGTACCACAAATGGAAATAAGGTGGCATTTCTGAAGACAGGTATAGACAAACAGATCAAACAGAGTGGTAGAAGTCTGCCTGCAAAGCTAAGGCACAAAATGCACTACAGCTAGCAAGGGGACATAAAAGGCAATAAGAAAAGGTGTTAGAAATGCTGTCAGTATTGGAGAAAGAGGAAGGAAATGAAAATCTGTTATTTAAACCAGAAAACAATCATTCAGAGAAGCCAGGAAACTTGTGTCCTTTTTGTTATTTTCACTAAAAAAATAAATTGCAACAAGGTATGCAACACCTTTGAAATGAACCAGCAAGAGTATGTGTGAAATGAGACAAAAACTGCTTAAATAATATTTGGATATCTCAAATGTGCTCAGATCATCAGAGCCTGATGAAATTTACCTTCAAGTGCTGAATATCACATTGAGCCACTTCCCTCGTGAAGGGCAAAAGCAGAACAAACATCACCACTGCCTTTAAAAAAGCAGATTGTTCCTCCAGGAGTGTTCCTCCATAACAAGAGAGACACTTGATCAGATAATCCCTCCTAAGCACCAAAAGGAGAATAAGGATTACAAAAGAGACATTTCAGATTGGAAAAAATGCTCTCAAACCAGATTGTTTTATTCCTTGGTAAGTGGAGTAACAGCTAGAGCAGCTCTGTATGTGATATATCCTAACTCTAGTGCCTCTGATCTCCCACAAGGAAATAGGGTCCATATGAAATGCTCATAATAGTGGACAACTGGGAAATCCCTGTATGAGTATCAATGATTTTCCATCACATTAGGAATGCATGAAACATGCAGGTCCTCAGCTTTTCCATGAACAAAGAAAACTTCAGCACAGCCAGTGCTCTTGTTTGTACTCAAAATCAGGGTGAGGAAGCCTGGGAGACAACTGGGTGTGAACCCAAAATGGTGTTGCAAAATGGGAGAAACCATTTTACAACTCTGGAATGAAAACTATGAAATTTGGGAAAGAAGAAATACCAAATGCCACTCCTTTCAATTGACAGAAAGAACAGCCAGAGAGATGAACTATAATCCATTTTTGTTGAGGATGAGAGAAATAACTGCCTTATTTCAGTAAAGAATATTTGGAACTCCTTTTCCCAGTTTCCCTCTTAGTGAGGGCAAATGAGCATTGGAACAGAGATGGTGTGGCTCAGCCTGCAGGGTTCAGACAACCCATGATGTCTGTTATATAGGAATGCATTAGGGACTACATAAATATCAGGTCCTGTTCCAGAGCAGGCATATAGATGAGATGCCCTCCTGAGTTTCTGTGAAAATCTTATGCAAACAACTTCACCTGGTAAGCATGAAAGCAAGGACTGCTTTCTGTAAGATTTCCTCTTTTCTGAATTATCCCTTGTGCAACTGGAGAGTCTGTAGGATGATTCAGGCTTACATGTCATTCAGCTACCAGATGCCTTGCATAGCCAGAAGTTCCCATTAATACATTTTGCTATGATCTTCAGTTCATAATTTAATTTTTTTCTGGTTCCCAAATCCTCAGAAAGAGAATCTGCATTTTCACTTTGCTTTTACAATCCTCATATTCTCACCACTCCCTGCTGCAGTACTGTGCACCTTAAGCTGTTTATAGTCAACTAGTCTCTTCATTTTTACCTGTATTCATCTCATAGTACAATCCCTTCCTAATTTTCATCTCAGCCACATTTGTCTTTTAATAGAGTCTTATTTTTAATTAATGTACACTGACCATACTTTTATAGCCCTTTCACCAGATATGTATTTCTCTCCTCTTTCTCTGTTTCTGAGATAAGATTTTAAGAAACTAGATGAATGTGTGGCAGCAACACTTTGGGCTTAATGACCAGACCCTGGAAGGACATGATAACCTCCGGAGGTCTCTTCTGGCTTATTTTCTCCAATTCTTTGATCACAAGAAAAAGCAGAGCTTAACTGATTTATACAGATCAAGAGTGGTTTCCATTGCCTGCAGACTTCTCCCAAACTTCAAAGTAATTCAAGAAAATGATGTATCAAATCATTTGAACAACCAGAAAAATATGCCAGAAGCCTTCAAACCCACATCTCTCCTCTATTCACTAGCCATTGCAGACTTAAAATTGTGAAAGTGTTTGGATCAATACCACTAACAATATCAAGTACCTAATCTGCATTTAAGAGCCTGTCATCTGGCCACAAGTCAACCTGCAACAATCAGAGGAACTTCTCATCCCTCCTCGTGCCTTTTTGCCTTCAGTTTCTCCTACTATCAGCAAGAAGAAATCTTTAAACACTTCCTCACCAGCTTGGGCTTCTTTTGCAGGCTGTGGTGTGCAGTCCCCCTCTGCCATTCTGTGCCTTGGATGTGCCCAGCTCTACTGTGCCTGAAGATGAACCTCGTTAAGCAATCCCGGCTCTCTTTCACCCTGCTGTTAATGTTTCACTTCTCAACAGCAGTCCTTTGGCCACCAATAAAATAGTTAAACTTCCATTTATTTCTGATCCGAAGTCATCTCTGCTCAGCTCTCAAATGTCATAGGGAATCTGCCTTTCTGGAATACAGCCTCTGAGGCTGCACGGCACCTTTCATGGATGTTCACGATCAATCACTTCACACTGCAGCTACACTATCTTTCAATAAAATTACTACTTCTGGTTGAGGATAGGGACTGGCTCTGTGACTAGACAGGATCTACAGCTGGCCATAAATGCAAATTTTTGACACTGTACCCCAGTTACAGAGTTGGTCTTAACTACACGTGTCTTTCACTATCATAGAATCACAGAACAGTTAGGGCTGGAGGGCACCTTCAAAGTCCATCCATTCCAACTCTTCTGCAATAAGCAGGGACTTCTTCAACCAGATCAGGTTGCTCAGAGCCCTGTCAAACCTGATTGTGAATGTTTCTAGGGATGGGGCACCTAGTGAGAAGATTATGGTTTTGAGAAGACACGGGATTTCACCAACCTTTGACAGACTGGCTTCTGTTCCCAGTTCTGCACATATCACACAGGAAAGCATACATAACATTTACAAGGTGTTCCCCGTGACCCTTTTGCACCTTCAAGCCATGAGCTGCCTGAAGGAGAATCAATAATTTTTCTAGTGCACTTCCATTGTTTACTCCTTTCTGCTTTCTCACATAACCTGTAAACTGCTGTGACTTTCTTTCAGAGAGGCTTTAGGGAAACTCTTCTGCAGAGAAAAACCCCAAATATTTTCTGCAGACACAGAAGTAGTTTAGAGTGAGTTCAGCAGTAGAGTAAAATAGGGTCTCCATCACGCAACATCATGGCCCTGAAGCCATCTGCATCCTTCACCTTTTATTTCACTCAAGTCCCACCTGCTTCAAGGTCCCATATCCATCACCTCAAGATAAAGTCAAGGATACAAACAGGCCATCAGTTCCTGATGAACTCTGCTATTAGCTGGACACAGGATGACCAGTGGAATTGGGCAGGAGGACTAGAAAGATGCACTAGGGAAACACTGAGAGACACCTGAATTTAAGAGTGAAAAGAAGCACACAGCAATAGCTACAATGTGCAATATTGAGAAGCCTAAGCTGATCACAATCAAACTCCAAAATGAAATGAGGAATAAATTCCTACATGTGATGATTCATTTGATAGAGCAACAAGGGATGCAAAGCCTGAAGTAAAAGATGAAGAACAGCATGAACAACTCATAAAAAGATGATGGCAAATTGTGAGGGGCTTGTGAAAGGAGGATTGAAGCAAAACTTTAATAATGGCTAAAAAAGAGCAGGCTGTGCATAGAAGAGATTTAAAGAAAAGATAGATGGTAAGAAGAATTTAAATCTATAATGTAGGAAGTATGGCCAGGATCCAGGGGGTGTTATTCATATTATAAGAAGATACAGCATAGATAAGTACAAAGCACAGCATGGCAAAGCCAGCAGCGTGAGACTCTGGGCAAGCACTGTGAAAAACAAGCAGAAAAGACATATGAGCACTACAGGCCAGACAATGCAACAGAGAAGAAAAGCTGGAGGGAGAATAGTTATTGGGAAAAATAAAAGGCTTCACTTGGTAATGCTTGTGACTTGTATTAGAAGATTGGGGCAGGGAGAGACGAGGAACACATGAGGAAGGGCTTTTATTTCTGAACAATTATTTAAGATAGTGAGGAAAAAATAGGATTTAGCTACGATAGCAAGGAAAAATTAGGATTTTTCTCTTCATTGAATGGAATGTTGAAGCAAAACACAGGGCATGAGAGAGCTGAGGCAGGAAATGAAGAAAACTCAGCACAAACAAAATACAACCATGAATTTAAATTACTTTCTAGGCTCTGAAGTTGAGAGTATCACAAAACCACTAAAAAAAAAAGGAAGTTGGTTCCAGAATAAGACTTGTGGTCTTTCAGAACAAACCACTGACTAACAGCAAGTGAATACCAAGGAAAACTATATATTGCACAGATAATCAGGAATAATTTAACTGTTCAGGCTGTCACTAAGGAAATGGGCTATGAAACCTCTTGAATAATTTTCCAGCTATGTTCCCCTCCACTTCTAAGATGTATTTGTTGCTGTGGTATAAGGTACCATGCACTGGCTGGGAGCACTGGTTTCAGTAAGTTCAAGACATAGAGAAAACGTACATACAGGTGCTCCAGGCAATGGGAACATGTCCAGTCCCTGCGATGTTTTTCTGTTTTGCCCTTCATGATAGTGTTTTGTTCCCTCTTTATAGAAATTTAAGGCATTTTAGCAATGCTGCCCACTGCTTAGAGACAGTTCCTAGTTGAAACAATAGCTAGTTTTAGTGTTCACATAGGTATGTAAAGTCAGCAATAGAGAGAGTGCTGAAAAAAACAAATGCAGAAAAGGAGAGCCAAGATAGGTGTGCAAGTGCATGTGAGCTCCATTCATAACTCAGTGCTGTTTGTCTCTCTTGGGTGCAAGTGATCAATTCTGAGTGTCACAAGGTGTGCTGGTCCCTCAGGCACCCAGTGCCACACCTGTTGGTACTGAGATACCTGTCTGTCTCAGGCTCAACGCAGGCTCTCTGTTCAAAACTTCTGAATATCAGAGAGAGTCTGGAAACAGAAAAAATCTAAACATTTACCCAGTCCACTTGCCTGGAGCTGAGGCTGGGTCATCCCCTTCCCGGTGTGAGAAGGTGGGACGTGCTTCCCTGCAGCTGGAAGAAAGATGTAGGTGGTGAGGCAGAACTTTGGAAAACACCTGAGGACCATGAGGTGTCCAAGAACATTTTCTCCCTGGTGGTTTCAGAAGCAGAATCTCACATAGTGCCTTTCAGCAGCAGGTATCTCAGGGCATCTCACTGAGCAGATATCAGTACCTCCATTTCAAAAAGGAGCAAAAGAAGGAAGAAACATCTTGACGAAGGTAGACTCCTCTGAAACCTCTTGCATGTCAACCCGGCAGTCTCTCCGTTAAGCCGCCCCGCCTGCAGTATTATCAGAACAAGTGAGAAACAGCTCCTGATTTATTGTGCCACAGGCTCTGAGGGACAGCTCAGCCACCAAAGACATCACAGTCTGCAGCAGCCTGGGTCCGGAGGAATGCTGACAGATTCCAGTTGTATCCAATCTCAGCCACCCCATGGGTGCATTGCCCTATTCTCCGTGCTCACTTCCAGCCTCTGGGACAGATACTGCCTTGGGAATTTCTCTTTCTGCACTGATCTCTCAGCTGACCAGTAACTCTCTTCTGTGTCCCACTCCCTCTCCCACCCTGCTCCTGAGTAAAATGATGCCTTTACTGGCTTCAGTGAGGCAGTTGGTGCTGAGAAACCAGAAATCCCATAGCCACTCTATTCCTCACAGCCAGCTCACAGGGATGCCTGGAACTGGGTGGGGGGGGTGTCTGTTGGGCAGTGAAAGAGGGGCTACAGGATGTGCCAGCAGGACCCTGGGGTTTGGTTCTGACTACATTACTTGTCAGACCCTTGAGCACTTATTTCAAGTTTCCTAACCTTAACTGCACTGTCTATAAAGCAAGCATCAAGCAGCATAATCTCCTGTACATCTGGATGTTTTCCAAATGGTTTCATTCATTAATCTGGCAACTGGACTTAGAAAATCTCAGAGAAGGTAGGAATTCCAGTTTTTCCGATTTTTTTTTCCATACAGCCACAGTAAACAGCCTGATTGTTGCTCTGTGCAAGTTTTCCTGTGTCAGGAGACAATGCACTCCACAATTTCAAATCTTTGCCATCACAGAGAGGGTATTTGCACCATAACCCAGCACACAGCTGATTTTTCAGCTGTGGTTTAAGTCAGATTGCAATTGTGTAATCAGTATTTCATCAAGGCAAGCTTCCAGGGACAAAGATGTAAATCCCAAAAATATATCTGTTCTGATGAAAAAAACCTTCCTAATCTAATCCACAGAGATCTCAGCTCTGACAGTGGCCCCTCCCAGATGCAAGCACTGACAGATATGATAGGACCTTCTGCATTCTAGGGTCTGTCATTTCCACTGAGATGTTAATCAGATCCTCCCCACCCAGCTTCCTCTACCACCACACCAAGGGCCAGGCGGATTAGAGGCTCATCCAAGATTCATTAACTCTGGTTCCCTGCATTTTCATAACGAGCTTGCAGTGCCATCCATTCTTTTCAGCCTCCCCCCGCAGTGACCAGGGGGATCAATTTGCTAACACAGTGAGTGGGAGCAGCTCTCACCAGCTCCAGGGGAAAGCAGAGTCATGTGGGTTTTCCCTGCATCAGGTCCCAGAGGAACTGGCACAGAATTGGAGATATTTTTGCTTTTTTTAATGTTGATCCAACCATACAGAGTTTGGGTCTCCAGGGACCCTAACACTTTGTAGCACAATTCTTTTTGTTTTGGCCATGCTGTGCCCAGGGCAGTCTGTTCTCCACTGGCACTCATGACAAATCCCCTCAGAGTTTGGCAGGGATAAGGGTTATATTCTCAGAGAAGGAAGAATCCATCTGTGACTCTTCATCCTTATGCTAACTCCCCAAAAAAGATCCTTTTTTCCCTAGGAGATGAGTGGCATCTGATCCACCTGACATCAGTGGAACCAGGAGTGCTCAGCCTTCCTTTGATGCCACCCCAGAGCACCTGCTGTCTTCCTCCTGCTCAACCATCTTTCTCCCAAATCTCCAGTCTCATTACCTTAACTGGAGCACATCCTCTGGCTGTGAGTGAATACTGAATTAGGCATTTGCTTTAATCCTCCTCCTCCTCTATCCCCAGCCTGTCTCCTTCCTCCTGGGATCTTGCATAGGGTTGTGCCCACCACACAGCAGCTGAGTTCTGCATCACACACCTGCAAACACTCTGTGTGTTTCTCTTGTGCAAACAGCAACCCTGAACAAGGACATGCTTTCTCCATGGGCACACAAAAACCACTCTGGTGTTCTGCAGCTTGTAGCGACCCAGAAGCCATAGAGCAGTGCTGAATGCACTGGGCAGCAGCATGGCACACACCCAAGCAGCAGGCAATGGTGTATATGAATACATCCACTGCAGTCCCACCTGTGGTGTGTGACAAGTGGGGATGGTTTCCACCCCAGCTGGTGCACAGTGGTGGTGGGAATACACTGGTACAGGCTTTCCACCGCTCTTTTCACCTTCTGTGCCCACAGCTGTCTTTGCTGTCTGGCATTTAGTCTTTACATTACAGTCTCCAAGTACTCCTTAGTAAACAGAGGAGACCACACTGTCAGAGAAATCCATTAGTGACAACATTTAATAGCTTTGATAAATCCATGCCAAAAAATGCAAACACCTTTTCCACAGCCTCCAGTACGCCTATGCTACATGAGAAGGTCTAGCCATGCCAGTCTTTTGAGATGCAGACAGCCACTTGAGTGAATTGAATACATTCAATTGACTTCAAAGAACCTTTGAGTGCTCAGCAACTTGCAAAAGATTTGTTTATAGAAATAATCACTTTCAGAAGAAAAGCATACATGGCACTTTTTCCTCTATCTCCCATTCAGTTTTACCTCTAACAATAAATCACAAGAGACTCAACATGGAATGGCTTGGCATTGTATTCATCTAGAAATATTTCTTTCCTGTATAAACTCAGATTAATATTAATTCTCTCCAAGATAAAGGCAGCTAGAAATAATTGGAGGTCATAAAACCAGTTTTCAGTATTCCTGACACTTCCCATTGTTAACAAACAGATGATCTTATAATGGTAAAGTCAGAGAAATAATTCCTCTCTTATACAAGGTCTGATTGACTAGACATGACAGATGGTGTTTTTATTACTTTCTGTTCTAAAAGAGGCCTCATCTAATGCAGTCCAAGCTGTGTTATGAGTCTTAACCTCTCAGATAAGCAAACCCCGTTTCATCAGGTTAATGGATCCTTACTTGATTCAGGAAGGCAATTTTCCTTAAAGTTATTCTAATCAAGTACTCAGAGCCCAAATTGTCCTGCCTGATTGACTGCCAGCAATGAGTAAATCTCTCTACTAAGAACCATATTTATTTTCAAAGAGGGAAAGCAAGTTATTATTATTATTATTACAGAACCAATTCTATCCTGTATTCAGGGACTTCTCCTATACTGGCTTTTACTGCAGTTGCAGAATTAAAGACAAAAGTATAGTTAATGGAGCCTTTCTCCCAATAGTTTTGTTAAATAACAGGCAGGGAAGGTAAATTAGAGAGGTGGCCTGCTGTCTATTGATACCCCCTCAATTAAGTGCCCCTATGGCAATGACATCTGACCCTAATCAGCACACAACTCTTCAAGCAGACTCACTCCAACCTGTCTTCCTGCATCCACCCCCAAACTGAGGGCTGCCAGCCCCAGCAGCTTTGCCGCTAGGCTGAGAAGCAACAGAGGACTATCCACTTTCTGAAAGAAAAGCTGTGAAGGAAAAGCAGTGCCTGAAGGACGCTCCCTGTAAGTCCCATCTCCTGTATGGCATTTGGCTGCACAGGTGGTGTGGTGGCACAGCTGCATGGGGGAGCAGTGACAGCACACATGAATGAATCACACACCAGATGAGGATGGCAGTGCCCTGTGCCTCCTTGCTGACTCTGGTCACTCCAGGCAGAAGCCCTGCCAGCCGTGGGGCTGCCCAGGCTGCTTAAAGGAGCAGATGGGAGACCTGACCTCTCCTAGTCTCTTCCACCTACTGCAAGACTGGTCTAGCAACTGAGCCCATGTGAGAACAAGAAGAAGAGCAACCAACTCAAGGCTGTGCAGAAAACACACAGAACACATTGAGTTATCGCATAGAAACAAGAACTGAGTCCACAACTCCTGAAAGATCATTCAGTCAGTGCTTTTACTTCTCAGTGCACATATTAGCTTTTCACACAGCCTCACAAGCAGAATTGGTAGCCCCGATGCCCTATCAGACATTTAATATTGGATTTCCACCTCCAGAAAATCTGACCCCCAGGAGCCTTGGCTGGAGTTTGCAGAGATGGCAAAGTGAGCTTTGTAACAAAATAAAAGTTCCTTTGCAATTTTCAAGGAAGCTGAGCTGTTCTGTTTACAGCTCTGCTGAAGGTATTGATGCCTCAAATGAAACAATCATTCTCAATAATTCTTATTTACCAGCCACCAGATTTTTAGGGTTTTTAGAGAATTGCATTGTTATATTAAGGCAGGCATCTTAAAACAGTGATTATTCTGCAGGAATGATAAAGCTATGGATAGCAGGTGAAATGCTGTGCTTGAATCAGAGACTCCCAAGCAAAAAATTCAGGAAGTATGGCTTGGCCAAGGTTCAAGGATCAGAAGTTTCCAAGCTTCCTCAAATGTCTCGGTTTCAACTCCTGTCATGTAGCCTGTCACATTTAAAACACACAGCACACTTCAGGAGAGGCAGCCTTTTAAAACAGTGCTCTCCTTGAATATCATTGTGGGGTTGATTGCAGACACCTTTGCACTCAGAGCAATCACGAGTGCTAATTGTTCAGATGGGGGATCAATAGAGAGGCATAACTTAAAAACCTGTTACTTGTGGAGACAGCCTCAGGGGAGAGCCCTGGAACTGTCCCCTCAGTTAAACAATCCCAGAAGAAGTAGGCATCCATCCCTGCTAATTACTGATGGGAAGTAAGGTATCAGTGCAGGAGGAGGAAAAGATGAGACCTTGACTCTTACGAGGTCTCGCCTGCTACACCAGTTTTGTAAATGAGCAGTGTACGGTGTAGAGAACTTGTCCCTGGGCCTGATGCAAACCCCCATAGATCAAGTGAATAGACCATAAGCAAATTTCCCTCCCATCCAGTTTCCAGTGTCTAGGAACAGCTGACTCCAGCTGCTTTGAAACTGCAAAGTGGCTCCACAGCTATTGGATAAGCTGCTCCAGTAGGTTTCTCATTGCCTTTATTGAGTGTTGGGTCAGACACCACACACAGAAGTGTCTGTGATCAATGAACCCATGCTTTGCTAGTTCTCTGCACAAGAACTTATTCACAGTTAATCCAAACCAAGTTCATTCATGAAACTGGCTGGAAATCTCATCAGAACAGGCTTTGCACAGAGATTTCTGACACTTTTACTTCAAGCACCAGCTGAAAATAGAGCAAAAAGAGACTCCAACTTCCTCTGAGTATTTTGTCAGATCTGAAGATGAGTGATTAATTCATAAAAACTAATAGCAGCTTGCTCATTTTCTGCCTTTTGCTTTTCTTTCTCCCCATGAACAAGGGTGTTTTTTCCTTAGGCTTATAGGTTTTTCAGAACAATTTGTCATGTAGTTTCTGCAAACCATTTCAGGTACTTAACAGCATTAGTGATCTGTAATACAAGCACAAAGGACAGTACAATTCAAGCACAACAGGACATGTAGGTTACATTATATGCCTCCCAGATTTCCACCTGGATGAACACACATCTTAGAAACAGGTTTGCTTTGCAGATTGGAACAACTCTCATTTTGCTTCAGAATGGGTATTTTGGACAATTGCCTCCAAACAGCCCACTCCCACCAACACACACACTCACAACGTCTGTCTGCTCGAGCACTCCCAGCCAGGGAACATGGAAAGAACAGGAACACAATCCAAGCACAATACTTACGGAAATCTCTGTGGAGACTCTCACACAAAGGTGTCGGTGGAGTGTCCCCAGATGGAGGGATTTCCATGGAGAAAGTAGTGAAGTGGTCTAGTGCAAAAGAAGAGCACTATGGCCAGTTTAAGCTTCAGGATGTGTCCGAGATAAATGCAGGGTATGAAGTTATTTCTTCTTGTACTCACAGCAGCACTTGTATTCCATGGTAACGTAAGGAGAACAAATGGCAAAACAAACTCTTGGCCTCTCAGGAAACATTGTTCTGTTTGTTGTCCCTAGAGACTTTCAGTTAATCTTCATCTGTGGGTTTGGCCAGAGAAATGTACTGGTGAACCTCCCCTCTCTGATTTCTCTATGCAAACTTAAAACTTCTTGAGGATTCATTAACTCTTTACTTCATCATTTCATGTATTTCAGACAGTGTTTTGTATTTTCTGTACCATTCAGTGCTTTGTAAGTGCAGAGTTATTGATGAGGTCCCTTCCCAACTTGCACATATTCCAGAGCAGGGCTCAAAATAAACAGCTGATCCTACAGGGAGGATAGACAGCTAAAACAGGTACATTGGATCTAGCTTGGCCAGACCTGGTCTCTCTCAGCCCTAGAATTTCCTCCTTTTTTCACATGCCCTGCTGGGGAATGGAAAGCAACTCAAAGGGTTTAACTATATTAAGCCAACTTATCAAAACTGATCAGTAAGCAGAATTGATGCCATATGTTTTCCAAGAGCTCAAATTCAGCTTAATGCCTAAAATTAGATTTAGGCTTTGGTGACTGACAAGCAACTTCTCCAAAAAAAACAGTGCTCCCGTGAGTGCTGAACATTTCTCAGGCACCCCCAATTTCTACTCATGCAGGAATCACTTTGCCATTCAATCCAGGTTGCAGTGAAATAGGAGAAAGCCAGGCAGGTAGACCTGTGTTCCTAAGACAAAGTAACCCTGAGTGTTTTAACTGAGAAAGAAAAGAAGTTTTCACTTGCTTCACTCTTGCCTTCATAATCTACTGTAAAGCTGAAATTTGCTGCTCCTGAGAGCTGGCATGCAGAAAGACAGAGCCTGACACAGGTGGCTGACCAGCCATCCACCCAAGCACCCCATGCTCCATCTCCACAGCACCCAAACATCTCAAATGCACCAGCAGCTTCCTCCTGGTTCAGGCCCAGAGCTCCAGAAAACACAATAATTTCAGTCCAAACACTCAGGTTGCTAAACCACCTGTGGCATGTTAGTTGTGAAATAAAGGTGATTGATGAGCAGTATATACGGATCATTTTAGAGGAGATAAACCAGACATTCAAGATGCTTGTGGCAGAATAATTCAGAGGACATGATAAAATGCCATTGCATTCCTTGAGATTAAAGGCCTGATTCTCCTCTCATCTAGGCTCTGCATTGCCTGTGAAGCCAAACCTGTAGTAAAATGGCTTGATAGGAATCTCCTCCTTGAATGTTGGCAGGACTGCACTGGAGTGAGGATATCTGGGTCGCAGTCCCGGTAGCCTCTGGCAGCCCAGGAAACCCAGCTCATTCCCACAGTGAGGATCCTGCAAATCCTTGGAGTATGGGGTCTTCCAGACTTCCCAGCATAGAGGCAAGAACCTAGAATCCCCAAATCCAGCTTGTTGTTTCCATTGCTGCTTCTGGCAGGGAATTCCAGAATTCTGGGGTCTTCTACACACAGTCTGATCCCAGTCTGATCATGCCATGTGAACAGCCCTTCAGACTGCAGCACAAGCATCCAAACCTCATATGGCTGGGTCATGGATACAGAGCCCTCCTCAGAGACAGCAGAGACAAGAAATGAGGGACATAAAGGCTGGAATTCGGGCTATGAGGTCACCAAGGAGAAGAAAGAAGGGAAGCAAAACAACATGAAGGGAGCTCAATTTGCCATAAAAATCATAGATAGTAATACAAAATCTTTGTAAAAGATTCCTTCTACCTCAGAGTTCATGCACAGGAAGAAATCTGTCAAGGCAAACATATCCCAAGAAATGACCATCTGGGAAATGTTGAGGCAATTCTGCCCAATCCCCTTAGCACATTAATATGTCAGGTCAGTGAAAACAGGGCTGGACAACACTTCAGTTTATAAAAAGGTCAAGGCTATTTTCAACCAGCTGCACTTGGTATGTGGAGCAGCTCCAGCTCATCACATTTGTCTGCCCCTAATGCTCCATCCCTATGGGATTTCAGAATAGCTGCTTTGACCAGAGTCAGTAAAAGCAAATAAATGTGTGTTTTTAAAAAGGGTTGTATAGGAAACTTGCCATGTGCAAGTCCAGAATAAATAGCAGCCTGTAGAAAAATTGTGCCTGGTGGTTGCCACATAGAAATAAAAGCTGGGAATTAATCACATGGGACAACCAAGGAAGGAAGAAATTACCATAACTGAGCCCAAAGAGAGTCTCCTCTCTGCAGTCTCACACTGCAGTGGGGGTGAGGGTGAGAGGGATCGAGCTACAAGCCTGAGCAGTGAGTGTGAGACCAGGGATGCTGCCTCTTGACTTGTCTGGAGGCAGAATCACTGCCAGGTGCTCTCATGACTTTCTGTTGTACCCTGGTGCTACCCACAGCCAGGGAGACAAACAGGAACCAGCTCATCCTGCCCATTCCCATGTCAGTGAAAAAACAGGGATTCAGTGCAGAAAATTGACACCGAGGTACAAACATCTTCCTCAAGCTCCTCACAGCACCAGGGTGGAAGATGTATCATTACTAATAAAAACAGAATGTTTTGCTTTCAAAATGATCTCAGGGAGTCAGTGTCTGCTGGAGCAAAAAGCCTATTTCATGAAAATTTAGCAGGGGAATAATTTAATGGAGCTCAGATAAAAAGCAGTCACCTGGAACCCAGATTTAGAAGAAATTGCCTTTTTTTCCCCCAAATTACTGGTTTGGAGTTAAATAAGGAATATTCATCTGATTTCACTTTTCTCACACATTTTCCCTGATGGGTGCACTAATGAACTCTAAACTGAATGGTAAAATGCTTTCAGTCCATCTCCATACCTCCCAAGGAGCACACTCTTTATTAAAAACTAATGATTCTCCTTTTCAAAATTAGCATCTGCAAGTTTGGGGGCAACTTCAAACCTGGTAGAAAAAGAAGCAATTCCCTTTGCAATGATTAGAATTTCCTCCTTCTCACAAAAATCCCGAGGGCCTCTTAACTTGACTATCTTGATTAAAGAGGGGCTTAGCTTTAATTGGGCAATTGCTGGGGTTTGTTACTCTTGGCTGCTGTACCTTGGCCAGGCAGGGTTGCTTCCCTTGCACCTCAGTTGAGCCCTCCTCAGGTGAATGTTCAAACAATTACAGTTGTCACATACAATCAAAATACATATGAATATGTGCACATCCAGCCAGCTTAATGTGCCAGCATCATCCTGCCCAACATGCACCACGATGACATTGTAGTCAAGCAGCTACAAGACCTAGTATGAAGGGAGACTTAGCTGAGGATACAATTCAATAACATACATTTTCTTGAAGCCCTTTACAGGGATTTGGAATCAACTTCCAGTGGATGAGAAGCTAATGTCTTTGCTTGCTGTTAGGGCTATAAAACCTCAGGATGTTGATCTCTGTTTGCTGCCTCATGCTCAGATGATCTCTAAGTGCTTTGTGAGGCTTCTGACACTGATTTCCTGACTCAAACCAAAGACAGAATTACCAGATTTTAAAACTGAGCTAGAAGATAGGAAAAACTAGTTCCCAGGTTAACTTTATATCCAGTGGTAACCTCTTTGACACCATTTATCATACAGGAGATAAATTCCCTGACTTTGCTCCTCAAAAGCTCTTTCTAATTTAATCAAGGAGATTTACATTACACCAACTGATTTTTTTTTAAGCAGAAAGTAGGCATTCACTTAAACCAGTGAAAACTATGGGCTTGCGGGGAAAGGAATTGAGAAGATTGTCTTTATTTACGAAATCCGAGAGAGAATGAGATTTCAGCATTATTCAAATATGTAATTTCAAAGATTTTAGTTGGTCTAGATAGAAAATCTGCAAACACATCATAAAAGCTTTGAACAATTGAAAAAAACATGTCAAAAACATTACTGACTCAAGCCATATTTTTCATGTTTTCGTTCTTTTCAAAATACAGGCAGTTTGTTCTGCCTCAGGATAGGAAGATTTTCTAAATCTCAGACATTCTGGTGAGGTGGAAATGTGCATCTTTAAGTCTCTAAGACTGTTAAATTCCCAGATCTTCTAGAGACAGACAACTGAATTGCCAATGTACACTCCTTCCACTTCTGCACCTCACTAATGGAGCGCTGGCCCAGACAAACCATATGCAGTGAGGCAGGGTAGTGCCAGTGAGTGACAACACCAGTTTACACTGCCTCAGCTGCCTCTTCAGTGAACATGGCTCATTTTCCAGTCAGCCAAGGTCAAGCTCTGAAGTTGTGTTTGCTTTAGGGAAGGGCAGGGCAAAAAGAATGGCTATCTGCCACCTGCATGGGCCAAATCTGCCCTACCTGTGCACCCCATGCAGCCCTACCTCACTGCAGCAGACTCTCAGATACCTCAGCTATGTGCTGGCTGCCAGAGCCACTGAATCTGAAGACATAGGCACCCAAAAAACTGCCTATGTAACAGATATTGTGACTCTGCTGGACCCTGTGGATTCAAGTGATTTTAAATGGGGAAAGAGCCCAACTCTTTTGAGCTGAAAGCTCAAAGGCACCCATGCCAGGGCAGAGCCATTGTTTACTAAATTCTGCCCTACAGCCCTGCTGTTGGAGTACTTGGTCACTTGCCCTTTACAACAGATCCTAGTGGTGCAGAGATTTGCCAGATGCTGGTCAGCCCCATTCATGCAGAACAGATGACTCTGGCCATGCCAATGAAAGTTTTGGCAGATGCATTGGGTGACTGCCTGAGGCAGCTGGTTTTCCTGTGCAAGCCAGAGAGGGGCACAGGTCTGCCCAAATGGCAGAATGGCCAAACACAGCTTAGACTGCACAGTAAGCAGCTCCCCTTCTCTATCTGAGGCTAGATGGACGGCCCGGAGAGAGGCAAGTCTGCATCACTTAACTCCTTGCTACAGGACAAGTCACAAAGGGCTTTCTTAGGCCAGAGTCCTTGAAGGCACCAGGCTCCCTGCCTGCTTACAGGATAAGGAGGAACCTCTGGGACCATTGGCTTGGACTGCACAGCTGTATCTGCCAGTAAAAGC